TATCTATTTTTCCACTGACTAATCCTCATTCAACACTATAACTAGTTAAACATAATAGTTTCAGGATATCGTCATAAAGCATTGTCATAACTTGACAATCACGTAATATGACTGATAAAATTAATGAAACTATTAACAAAATCGGTCATCAAATCGTTTTATAATTATCACTAGTGTTGTTTTTCTTTTATCTTCATTCACTACAGATGATTACAGTATGTTTATCTATCAGTTGCTCATTCAGTAAATATCTCAAAACCTTGTCAGTCTAATTGATGGTTTAGCGACACAATCATGCATGCAAATAATCAGTATAAGCAGTCGAGCAAATCTCCTGCAAACTGAAAACATCAATGTCGAATTTACTCCAACACTGACTATGGTTCAAGGCATTATCATAGACATAAGTTGGGAGTGTACTCCCCTTGGTTACAACTTGTGTTCTTCCTGATAATCACATGAGCATCACCCACTGTTAATTATCTTGTAAAAGCTTATTTAGCCGAATACATCCTGCAGCACCACATCACCTAGTAATATGACACATAGGCTTAACTGATTTCAATAACTTATAACCACTATATCTCAATTAAATCGTATTCCGCCTTATGACAAACTGCATACTTGCAAATAACTTGTATGCACCATCAGCCGGTAGGTATAAATAAAAATAAATATTCTATGGCAGATCAGAACATTGAGTCTAGAGCATGTCTCTTACGAACACACTCATGTTTAACGATTATTTCCTAGCTATCTGTCCAAAATCCATATAATTATCACTCATGTATTTAAATTTTATTTTGATAACCATTCATGTGTATTAGTAGTATTACTAAATTCTATCACGGTCACGTAAAAATGAGGTTGAGAAAATCTCCCCGTAACTAAATAAACCGTATCAAACTAACTGGAACACTAGTTGGAATTCTTCTCCACGGTATACTTTTGTTCCTTCAGTTAGCCTACTAATACAGATGCAATTGGAATTCAACTCTTATGGACAACTTACCGGCATAATCGTTATCCGATTTCATAATTTAAACCAAAACTAATACCAATATTAACATTTCTACAATATTCATTATTTTAATATTTCTAAACACAAAATAATTACTGCCTATAAGTCAAGTTATTAACACGCATCGTTTTATTATTATTATTATAATCTCATTTTTTATAGTTCAAATAATCTTCACCCAAATTTTCATTTCAAGCGTTTTAAGCATGAAGGCAGATATTTTAAAATTATTACATGTATTTCCCGACCAGATGCTGCCGCTTTCTTTTTGATTTATCTTTCAGCTTACCAATACCCGGAGGATTCTTATTATCCTTGGTAACCTCCGGCGCGCGACGATCCCATCCAATTTGGTATCGAACCAACATCACGTTGATTCTGGTGGGAGAGTAGTGTAGTGGCATTGGACAATAGCCACACAATCCACAAAGCTGTGTACACGAGACTACTCAGAAAATAGATATTCAATATTTAACGCGGAGAAATACCTAACAATGGAGAAGGCGCGAACAATGAATTGAATGGACCGGAGTTGATCGAGTGGCATGGCTCGGCCATGCAGGCGTGGTCTCTATTCATATTAAATATATTGTTCTTTCTCCAGCCTAACCTTCTTCCTCATCATGTATTGGTAATTGATACGATACAGTGAGTTGGTGTAGTCGATGGTGTGACTTCCACGTAAGATCTTATAGATTAGGCAGTTATATCATGGCAAATCGACAAGTTTAGGATTAGGTCTATTATTAGAGCAGTACTAATATCATAGTAGACCATAATTCTACAACTCCTTCTAAGCACCTTGAAGTAGTAGACAATCTTACAGAGCACCATATGGATCATTCAAGATTGTTAAACTCGAGGTTATGAACTTGGTGTGCCTCTAAGCAAGATCGTATGTAAACGGCTACTCCACCCCCAATTCCTGTTTTTCTGTCGTTGCGAAACAAGGATATTCCAAGTATTGCTAGCTCCTGGTCCGAGAACTGAGAAGATATCCAAGATTCAGATATTCTTATTAACATTGCTAAGTCCACGTAGCTCATTCATTTTCTCTGGTAGACTGGCGGCTTCATTTATAAACAGTTCATGCTCTCAAGTTGAAACGCGTGAGCTTTTTCCTGTTTGTCTGTATGAGCCTTACGTTAAGGGATAGGTAGCCTACCTATACAAGGTTTGCCGAGTTGGTAGGCCCTATCCTTTATACGTTTTTTTATTATCGAGACAGTCCATAAGTGGAATGATCAGCTCCAACTTGCCTCTGTGTGTTATAATCTTTTTTTATGGTTATGACCCAGCTATTCCTATTGCTTAGTATTCTCGGACACCGATTCACTCGACAAGTCCCCAAGTCAGAACACTGGTGAAACAGGACAGAGATTATATTCTAAATAACAAGGTTAGATCGAAGTAGGAAGCAAGTAAGAAGCACAATAGGGAAAACGTTAGTATATTTATAGTTTTTCACATGAGATTTCTAGAGTGTTCACTAAGTATTGGCTAACGCTGATTGGACAATAATTAACCAATCAGCGTGCACCAAAGCAATCGTGCACTGAGCACGCTTTAATCCAGTCTATGTAACACTAACACTGTATATGGTCCTAGCCTCATGTGGATTCCAGTTGGCAACCGACGTCTGTTGGCACGAAATGCTTCCGGAGTTGCAGCCGCCATATTGGAGGATGGGAAAGTTATCCTCATTAGCCGGGATCTAGAGTCTCCGTCCTTCTTGGCTAGTCTCATCACATGTTGAGTCAGTATGCTTTTGAGTCTCAAAGACTGTTTGATAAATTTCCATTCCCTAATGTCAAAGTTTCTTTGACTATTTCCGTGTTTTCCAGGACGCCTTGCACAATGATAGTGCTCCCGCGAGATTCTTTAGGAGTGCTCCGGATGAGATTGCTCTCAGAATACGGTATATCGGGTAGTATTCTTACGTTTCCATTGGATTTCAGTAAATGACTAGCTAGCACGACATCCTCTACGTCAGTAGCATTCTTAAGTGTTACACGAAGTAGCCTTGTAGCGTGGCGTCGAGTTGAGGTTAACTATGAACACCGCTACCAAGAAACACGTGCCAAGCGAATCAGAAGGCGAGGGTTGGACGTAACCAAATAGATCCATAAAATCCTCGAGAAGCCGAATACCAGAAGACAGTTAATGGACCAAGTCGAGGTTTATTAGCTGGCGATCTCGTGGCATCGAAAGGATACCGAGATCGTGCCAGGATACAACCTTGGTTACAGAAGGTAACCGAATTCGCGCGAAGTTACAATCAAAGTGTAAGCGAAAGAAAGGAAGCACAAAATAGCTGTCATTAGCACAGTCAAACAAAAGCACGTTAAAACAAACACTGGTACAGTTGGTTATAATAATAATTGTTTTTATTAAACCAGTCGTGTTCTCGTGATAAACGTGAGTCACTACAGCCTCATGTGATTTTGATGCTTATATTCCTTTCCCCGAGTGAGCCGTGCTACCGTCAAAGGCTCTATTCTAGGAAGTTCAAGCTTCCTGTTTAATTCACCCAAGAGCATCCTGTCATTTTTGTCCTGCAAACTGAGAGGAAGATCAGAGCTTTTCTTTGAGGCTCATGATTAGGAGAAAGTCATCACGAACTGTTATTGTTTTCCCAGGTTTTCCGGTGCGTTCAGGTTCAGCACCTTGTTGTTTGAAGGTCGAAGCTCTTTTCCAATTCCTAGGCTCTTTAATAATCGGACGGATATTCTTGGGGGTAGACTGTGCGACCGAATCACCAGTTGGCTTCCGTCCAACACCTGTGATGTTCAGCTTAGACGGTGACGTCTGGTCCTTTTTAGCTCTGTTAACGTGAGTCCAATCACCTAGGGAGTTTTTAGGAACCATTGTTGCATTTAACGACCCTGTGCTGGGAGACCCGACTTTGCTGAGGGAGTCTATTAACTTCGACGTTATGATGGTGCTGAGTTTCATCACGTCATCACAAGTGGTAGTGCATATATAGTGGCATGTAGTGACATAACACGTTCTCATTTATGATCCGACTTGATGAGTCTGTTGTAAGCAGTTGTTGTGAGATCTGTGCACGCTTCGTGGAACCAACCTTTGCAGTTGTCGCACTGCATGCCAGATGTAGCAGCAAAACGGCATCCAGGTCGTTGGCATGAATTTTTCATGACTATATTGATGTAAACTGTATTATAAATGCTAGCAAAAGCCTAAGACCGTTAAAAAATACACTAAAAAGCACACTACAAACGGGCAAAATGGATAAAAACGGGTGAGGTAAACGGAACTAGCTTTTACGTGAAAAACTGAAAAAAGCTTAGGAAACTTAGATAATTTCTCTCTAAGAGCATACCACTTTGACAAAAAATTGTGTGTCTTGGTACACTATGGTCTAAAGTCCTACGTTAACTTCATTAAGAATGGCTTTCATGCAAACCCAGCACTCACCAAGTTGAAGTGCATTTTTGGCCAGTTTGACGGCAGAACTTTTCAATTAATCTTAGCTAGATTTAATTCCACCCTACACAGAGTATTAAAGTATAGTGTTTTCCCTCATTCTGAAAGGAAAAGAATACACTGGAACGTATCCAAAGCGCAAGCCACGAAGTCAGTTTGGAAGTTCAAATCACTGAATCTTTATCCTTTGGAGAATATGCGCTTCAGACGTGACCTTCCAGTAACTTATGGAACTCCCAATATTTCTTGAGATACTTACTTAAGCTCAGTCCCAACACAAACCTTGAAGGTAACATCCAGAAATTAGGGACTGAACATGGTAGGAAGGACTATAGGTACACCTTTTACTCTTTACGAGCAGTCAAATTCTGAAACTCGCTGCCGAGTGAGGTGGGGTAAGTAAATTTCTAGGAGCCCTCTAAGAGAAAATTTAATATATTCATAAACATTTAGGACATTTTTTCAAAATAATTCGCTAGTTTTTCTCTTCTTTTCGTTATTGGTACATAGGTCTATATATATAGGCACGGGTGATCAACTGCTACTGAGTGTGGAAGCCGAGTGAACGAAAGCCGTCTCTATTCCGTTCAAAAACATTCGAAATATTTGTATTGGACATAGAAATCACTGCTTCGGGTAGTAAATCTGCGGGAACTAGAATTAATACTTTACGCTGTGTTTTTCTTTAACACCCAGAAACCTGACTTTTTCTCTAATATCAATCTTGTTTTTTTTAACTTCCTCCAGTCTTCACGAAGTAAAACATTTTAAGCTACCTTGCGTGTCATATGTTTTTGTCCTCATATGATGTGTGCCGTAGCATTCATAAAACTACAATAATGTAAATGTGAATTAATAGGTAGTATACTGAAGACCTCATTAAAATTTGGAGATTCAAGGTAATAAGGCTGTTAAAATGACTTTAGGGTTTAATGCTTTGAAGAAAATTTTCTTCAAAGCATTAAACCCTATTAAACACTATTAATAGTGTTGATGGATTTTTAATGTAATATGCGTTTGGAAAAGTATAATTTTCCTTTAATCAAATAGTGTAATTCGTGGCCGAGCTTATAAATATGTATTTGTATGTTGAGACAAATAACGGCTTCTCTTATATCAGATTATCAGGTTACGTTGTCACCTAAACTTGACTGTCACTACGTGAAACATTTTTGAAGTGGATAAGATGTACTTGCTTAACATCATCTCTAAGATTTTATAATGTGACTAATACTTAGTTACGTTCACCTAGATCCATACGTCACTGGTCTTATACGAATTTAAAGCATCTGAATACCATTTCTTCGGAAGTAAGTTTCAGTATTATTAGATATTCAGTTTTTATTGTTTATTATATGATCACATGTACTGTTGTGTCTGTTGTGTTTCCTCACAACAAGAGATTACAAACTATGCCCGCTTGACCAGCTGGTAAAAAAACAAGATAAATACAGATCTACTCTATATAGGAAGAAACACAGACTTCTAAAGTCCTACCACAAGCTCCCAACGTTTGTGGAAATTTTGGGGTTTGGGTCTCATTTACCCCAAATTTCCCCAAAATTTACTATAGTAGCTTCCCCAAAATGAGCCAAATTTTCCCCAGAATTGGCAGCTTGGGACAGCTCATGAGATTACTGGTTGTGTATGCTCCAGATTGATGCGCTTGGGCACTAAGCTAATTATATTCAACCTCAACTTCAGTATGATGAGTGAGACTTTCTGTTCTTTCTTTCTGCCTGCTAGATAAAGTTTGCGTTTAGATTTTCTTGATAGACTCTGAAGAAATTCAGTTATATCCAAATTTGTCGAATTATATATCGATTTTACCAACTCATCAGTTCTCACTGAACACAAATCACAGTGTCTTAACCAATGCAAATGGAAACAAATCAAAAATCAAACTAAATTTAGACGGAATTAAATAATGCAACTGGTAATACACCAAAAATCAATAAAATAATTCATTTCGAGTAATTAATCATAGTATTGTGTTGTTAGCTGGTCAATAACCACCTTAGATTGATATGCAGATTTTTATAGACTGATTTTGTTTCCTCATTGTAATTTGAGGCGTCATATTCTCCACACATGTCTAACATCAAACGAATTTGCCCAGTATCACTGTGATTACAGTTAGCCAAAAATAAACCATAATTTCAAATACAAAATGGTCTTGAAACCACCATCACAAGTCCACTTAATAGACTTTTCGTAAAAGTGCGTTAAACATAACATTCATGTTTCTAAAGAAATTAATTTGTACCTGATTTCGGTTGTTTGAACATTTAAACTGTAAATACAGTTACATCAACTGATGGTATTTTCCAGTAATTAATTATTATGTCCATCGATAGAATTCCTCATCCTATTTTTGTCATTAACGCATTATGTTATTGTCAAACTGATATTTTCAGTGCTCTGAAATCGGTCGAAATATCTGCTATATTCCAGGATTTATCACTATCAATATATTTTAATGTCTCACAAAAAACACAAGCAAAAAAGAAAGCATAGAAAATCAAGCACTGATGATTCTGTAGGTTCTTGTGTAACATATTCAGTCATTAATTTAGTCATCAGAGAGTGATTATGAATGGAAACAAGATGATCAAAGTCCAAAAGAAAAATCTACTAAAAATAGTGACGTACAGGTAAGTCGAGATATTTTTAATAATCAATCGTTTTTGTTTTAGGAAAATAGTTGGATCACTGATGTCAAATCTCTGGACTGCTTTTTTGATACATTTAGTTCAAAGTCAAGCGGGAATAAAGCAACGAAAAGTAGTCAGAATAATAGCTACAAAATAAATGAGCTTAATCCTTACTTGAAAGATGGAGGGAGTGGTTTGCCAAATAGTGAGACTTCTTCAAAATCAGTTTTGACAGATGATAATCAATCATGGTTGTATAAGTCATTCATTCGTTGTGTTGACACATCTAGGGAGACGGGTGTTAGTTTAAGAAATGTATTGCTTCAGCGTTGGGACGAAGATACTGTGAATGATATGTTGAATAGATTCGGAGATAGACATGGAAATGACAAATGGTAATTAATTATTCTTAATCATATTTTATTTCACTATGAATTTCGCCTTTATTTTCATGTTTACTCTTATGGGTTATTTGCGCTTTCCATCTAAGACGTATGAAGTTTTACTAACTTGGTCTTATTGAGGAATGTAAAACAGGATAGGAAATAACCGCAGCAATTACAAACTGAGTAACAGTTCATAAAACCTTCAAGCTTTACTTTATTTAGTGTTGTGAATATTAAGTAGGCGTTCACCTCTTATTTTACAATGCCAGTCTACATAGTAATTGCTTTGGTTTTTATATATGATTGTAGAATCAAATAAAATTTATTGTATTCTGAGATCACGATTTCACAGCATAGTACTAGACTAATAAAACTAGTTACTAGGGTAGTCTCATCATAATGTCTTTGTATAGGTGTCTCAGTGTCACCAAGTTTCTCACTAACATACTATTTAATGAGTATTTGACCTGAGTTGTTCTACCAAGTTTTTTCTTCTAACTGCATTTATTTAAGTGTTACCTATATTCATCTTTTTCTTCAACGTAGATGTTACTCGGACCAGTAGGGTAAAAACATCAAGGTTAACGTATTTATGAAGTTCTTAACTCTATAAGTCATGCAACTGAATTAATCAACCTATATTAGTGAATGTTTTTAGACTCAAGTTTTATTGAGTATACTAATACTTCTTAAAATATTGGTATTTTAGACTAATGAGCTGGGTACTAAAGCAAAACTAATATTAAATTTCTTAATAAGAATTTTAAGTTCAACACCCCTATACGTCTTAGCTTATTTTGGTTAAGATGTAAACCTCATGATAGTTTAGCTGTTAACTCATACAACGACACTATATCTCTCGATTTTAGGCAGTAAACCAGTATCAATAGCCCTCATGCAACGAAAGTATGACTCAGCTAACTGTATAACCCTGTACTTGGAAAATAAATATGGATTAATTATCTTTTAGATTGACACTTGATTTTTATGAAGATGGATTATAGGATTGTCAGTTACTGACGACATTGTTGAAGAATAAATACGTACACTTATTATTCACATAAAGATTCATATATAAAACAGGCTATGAGCCCTACTTACTAATATCGAAAGCTATCAGTACTACTACAAACCAACTTTGACTGCGAACCAATCAGAAGCAAATAATTTTTCTGAATTCTAAAGTTCTATCTTATACCAGCCTGTCAGAATCAACGGGAATATTCGTAGCAAAGTTTGAGGAATATAACTGATTCTCCAGTTAATCTTAAGACTGATAATTTTAGTTATTATTAAGCAAACATTATTTAATTTCATTGTCATTTTCCTTATACTGTGGTTAAAATGGATTCAGTGATTTGCTGTTAAATATATGTTCATCTGGAATGGCAGAAATTTGCACTTCAAGTAGATGCCTTTGGCATGAAATAGGTGCTGCAAATGTCCAGAATGACAATAAAGGCTTTTCAGTTAGATCATTTAGCTTAGAAAACTCGATATCACTATAAGAATTTATATCTATTTTTAGGAGTATGCCTACGTTATTTTAACAGATTTTTTAATATATAGCACTGATTTTCATTTTTTTGCTCTCAATACTTTCTCAGTTCCAGAACGCAGTGTAATTCTAACACATTGGACATGAAACCACGTTGGCGTAAATGCCAGACTACTAATCCTACTACTGATAAGAATGAAAAATCATCGTCTCATTTACATTCTAAAAGAGTTTATTCGCCCGAGGATATTGGTATGCTTAATATTGTTTTTCTGTCTAATACCACTTAATTAGTTTGTTCATTTTTGTTTTTCTTGTTATTTATATGTATTTCTATCGATTCTTTTTTCTTGCCTTGGGGTGAGTTGTATAAGAAATGAAAGCTATATCGCCGATGTCGTATTGGTTCAGAATCACCACCCTTTACCACAACTTTTTACTATTGATGTTAAAAATGTAAAACTGGTATCTTCTGTTTTGGTAATCTAAAGAGTGCTATGCTTACCTTGACACTTGAATTCCAACGCTTTTTGAGGGCGACGTAGGTGCACGTTACCGAAGAGTCTCAAACAAAAATAGAACAGATATTCCTTACCCATCTTAGTTTTCAAAGCTTACTACTGTCAATTCGTGATAGAACTATGTTGAGCTGTATTATGATTGTCTATTTGTTTGTTTATACTCTTCAATTATAAAAACTAAATTGAAGAAAAATAACTTTAGTATCCAGTATTGCCAGAAAAATTTACTAAATAGAACATTTGCAAAAGTAATTAAAGAAAATAATTACTTTTGTATGATATTTAGTTGTTCCCATCAATTATAATTTTTAAGTAGGCAGTGCAGAGTTATACCATTGGTTTTATTGTTTAGTTTTCGAAAGTGAATTGTTTAAAGTCAAACACGTCATTCTGTCTTTGATGGCTGATCACCATACTGTTTTCATAAGAGACCCTCTTTTTAGTGGCGATACTAGGTGGGTTTTACCCACCCGTTGAAATTTTATGTGATTACTAGGTAATTAATTAGTTTTTACAAAAATAATTAAATAACTATGTCACGTCATATACTTCCAAGATTAATGGCAGTTAGGTTACATTATTATTGGGATAGAGGTTCTAAATTATTGTTGTATCAATACGTTTTTGATATTTTTTGTGAATGTGTTAGCGGGACATAGACTGGATTAAAGCATGCTCAGTGCACGATTGCTTTGGTGCATGCTGATTGTCTAATTCTTTTCCAATCAGCGTTAGTCAATACTTAGTGAACACTAGAAATCTCATGTGAAAAACTATAAATATACTAACGTTTTCCCTATTGTGCTTCTTACTTGCTTCCTACTTCGATCTAACCTTGTTATTTGGAATATAATCTCTGTCCTGTTTCAACAGTGTTCTGATTTCGGGACTTGTTATAATCTCTTTCTTACCGTATGACTCAGCTATTCCTATTGCTTAATATTCTTTGACACCAAATCACTCGACAAGTCCCCAAATCAGAACACGGTTGAACAAGAAAGAGATTATATTCTAAATAACAAGGTTAAATGGAAGTAAGATGCAAGTAAGAAGCACAATAGGGAAAACGTTAGTATGTTTATAGTTTTTCACATGAGATTTCTAGAGTGTTCACTAAGTATTGGCTAACGCTGATTGGACAATAATTAACCAATCAGCGTGCACCAAAGCAATCGTGCACTGAGCATGCTTTAACCCAGTTTATGTCCCGCTAACAGGACTTGTCGAGTGAATCGGTGTCCGAAAATACTAAGCAATAGGAATAACTGGGTCATAACCGTAAGAAAGAGAATATAACAGAACGGTATATGTATGTGTGTTCAATTAACTCTTAGTTTCTGAATACTAACTGTCAAAAATAAGTTATACATATACTTTATTGAGTCAACTATGACCTGTTCGTGATGAGATGTGAACGCAGTCTTGTATATATGGCCAAGCGTACATACAATTAAGATTTAAGGGAAAACAATCATCTAATTCTCTGTTGTTTTACTAATCGTTCTCTAGTTGATATCATTTCATGAGAAGAGCTATTCTTGATTAATAAACTATAATATAACATTTGTAAGAGTTTGTATTTTTCCATTGTATATGTTGCGAAATAAGTTATTTGGATTCAGTTGCGTAGTAGATGAAGCGTTGTTAATGTCTGAAGTGATAAGTGCCGTGGTAAACATCAGCATTGTGATATATGTGCATCTCACTAATAAATTCCAAATAGACCCAGACTCACATCCTAGGTAACCACAATTCCGCTTTACATACTACACTTTGTACATAACTATCTCTCACTGTGTTGGCTCAGCATAACAACTTCAGCGGATTCACATGTAAGCCAGGTTCTACGTTGTGCATGACTGACTGGCTGATATAATTATTCTTATTCAGTAAGCGTCTTACAAGTTACTTCTTACATTGTTTAATAACTGATTAACATCTTGTGACTCGTAGAATCATTATCAAAGCAAAAAGAATTAACCACGGAATCAGAAAATTCTATCAATGATTGTCAAAGAACATTTGAAGAACGTTTAGTTACAAATGATGACATAAATTCAGTCGCTGCTAAGGTGATGCGAGCAGAATTGGAGTCGAATCACGTAAGAGATTATTTATGGGGTAAAGTGTTGTTTCATACTATGTACGCTGCACTATTTGCAGTTTTTGTTTGTTTGACGAATGTAACTTTTTTGTCTAGACACTTTGATACGTAGTCATTAGTTTCATCTTGCGTTCACTTTTAGAAGGACGGCTTACTGGTTGTAGCACTTGTTTTTCAGCCAACATTAAAATAACTAAACATGGCATCAGTTATTACTAAGTAATGCTACATTAGAGGCGACTTGTCCCATACTTACTATTTTAATCTTTCTTATCTGATTAAAAGTACTTTGTTATTAAAGATAATGCATTTCAAATTTCAATTTCATTGGAGAACCCTATGTAGTGACATTCAAACCTCAGTACAAAAACTCTGTGTGATAAATAAACCTGATTAATATTACCGTGTATATTATCAGTAAGTATAGCTGATCCATTATTTCACACAGCACATTAGCTAAGCGATGTATATGAAAATGATTCAACTTAATCTATGTACAACCAACAAATTTTCAACCGTTTTTAGTAAGTCCACATAATTTAAAGAGAAATATTGTTACTTTCTTAGTCTTTTATTGTCTCTGCAATAGACAATAATAATATTTAATCCTAGTTTATAATTGACTTGGAGATAGTTTGGTCAAAATTATATATTTAAAGATAAAAAGGAAATAAAAGATCACATGAATTTATGATTTCAGGCCGTGCAAGAAATTAAAGCGTGTAGTAACAAAATTTCAAAAACAAAATTGTAAAACTGGAAATATGAGATTTCTGGTGGTATTTCTTTCAGAAAACATCAAGTCCATTACTGTATATGAACTAACGTCTTTAGTTCATATGTTGTTCATTATCATAAATAACACTATCTCTTCTTTTCAGAAAAAAAAGTTTTTATATCATTTGTTTGTATTTTTAAAATATATTTTATTATAAATAGGTGAAAGTAGAAAAATTAAAAGCAAATTTAGAAAAATTACGTGAAGCTATGCGTCGTGGCATTAAAGTACGAATTCATACTGTACAAAAGAATAAAGCAATCCATAATCAGTCAGGAGATAATCGGTCTAAAATAATCGCATTAACACGTTTAAATGATCAAGGTATTGAAATACCAGTACATATACGTAATCTTCCAGGAACTTCACATACCAATGATAAAAAGTATGCTTTTGTTTTTAGATGTTTCCTTTATTTGCAGTTTATTCATACATTTGAAGGAAATTGTGTGCTATGACTTTTTACACTAACTTCTTGACGTTCAACTATTTGACTAAAAAGAATTCAAACTCATTTTGCTCTTTTTATGTCAATAACAGATATTGATAACTCTTGAAAACCGAAGGATCTTTGTAGAATAATAATCCAAAGTGGAGCAGCTGATAATATATATCGTAAATGAGGTCGTATCATTACCATCGATTTCTAACTTACTTTAATTCTTCACTCACCCACACATTGTGCCTATGTAAAATGCTTTGATTACCAGTGGAACTCATACTGATCTCAACTATATCTGCTAGCTTGACGCGATTGTTACTCTTGGCTATCATGAAAACAACCAAGCTATATTAAATGACTCACTCCTTTCTAGAGGTTCCACCGTGTCAAGTGGGTTGGTCTAATAGCGGTAGAGCTAGGAACAATAAGCTTATGATCTGAAGTTTAAATCGTACTGCCTACTATCCTGGAATGCTTTATTTATTTATTTGAATACATAAATATTGGTACAAAGGGGCACCGAATAAATATATGCCACACAAGTCACTTGATTTGTGTGTGCTGTGATACTGCACAGGTGCCCAAACACAAGCAGGTGATTTTCCTAGGGGGCCTTACCTGGAGCCTTCGACCTACAGGTCTGATCCACAAGTCAGTGGAGCAACGTCAGGAGATGCAGTCCCATGGTAGCCTGTGACCAACGATTGGTTCATACGCCATTTGTTCCTTCGGGGTACTGTAGCCCATGTGCACCATTGATTTCGAATCAGGGTTTTCCAACTCCCCTGTGTAGAGTCTGCATGTCCACCAACCCTGTTGAAGCACCGGACATTCACTTTTCATCCTTTCAAATTTTTAGACAACACTGCTACCGCGAGAATGCAGTGAGTAGGGCTTCCCTGGGATATGATAGCACTAAGGTGTTTCTTTCTGATAACCAACATCTCTAATGATACTTCTTTATCATAAAGAAAAAGGGTTAAACAGTCAACCACATACATCTCGTTAGTTTATTCTTATTGTGATGATGTGGGCTGACAATTTAAGCCAATTCGCATCTGTGTCAGACTTAGCGTTGGTTGTGATCGACTGGCTGATTCATGAAGATGGGTGTATAGTCTTACAACCCGGAAACTTTTCCCACTCAACTGTATAAAATATCAAGCATCCAAATAAATGTCTAAAATGTGTGTGTTTGTGCATGTATTGCAACACACTACATGATGTTCTTCATTAGTAATAACTATTTCAAAACACATCTGTTCTTACAAACACATTACATCTATTTAATTTTATATTATTGAAATCATGCAATTTCTGACTGCAATTTTCGATTGATTGATATCACTTTCCAGCTCACAACGTTTTAAATCTCATGACTCAACTGGGCAACGGATAGCCTTCTTCCCAGAAGATAATGAAGACCAACAAGTTGCTGATATGATACGTGATGAACGTTTACATTCAGCCAGTGATATGGATTTGGAATTTTCAAAACTTGCTAGAAAGGTGAAATGTTTTTGTTGTCAATTTTATTCTGTAAACAAAGTTACATATAACACATATATTGAATGAAGGAAACGTTCACTTTAATACATGAAATGTCTAATACCTACGCAAACTTAGCTAGTTATTGAGATTGTTAACAATGATGGTCCGCAATTGTTTAATCGATACGTCAGATCATGCTTCCTATTAATCATACAACTTTATATTATTGATCTCTTTCAAGACAGAACTGCTGGTATAACGTAGCGATCATAAAACGCGAAATGATTATATGATTGACAAACCTAACTTCCGAAGACTTCCACAGATGTTTTGAAAAACAGAAACAGAAGTTAGATAATTGTAATAAATATAGATGAAAAGTATTTTACAAACGTATAAGATTAATGTAATCTATTGAACTTTGGTTTAGACAGAGTGATAGTACTAATTACTAGTCATGTACACTACTAACCGTGTACACAGACCTATAATTTGGTACAGATAAGTTATAGTCGACACATAATTAAAAGCAAAGTACTCAAATCACTGAAGTCAATATCTGTCTTAACTGCTATATTGTTATGTTAATTTCTATGTTGTTTGTGTATTTATCTCTAATAATTGTAAGCTCTTACACAGTATTTATTTAAATGTATACATTTTTAGAGTGTAGAAGATGAATACACTGATGCTTTTGTGAAAAAACGAGTAAATGCTGAAAAAGAAGCTATTAAATGTAAACAGGATGCTGTATCATGTAGGTTTACCGATTAGACCGTGGAGTTGTGTGTATGTTGATTTTGTCGTTTATTTTCAATCTGTAGTATAAATGTGACTTTTTCTTCGAGTAAACGAGTCCTAATTCTTATAAAAGATCAGTTCTCATTACTGTTTATATTCTAATAGTTGTTTCTAAATAAAGTATGTCTTTCCATGTATGGGACATAATGATCAAAACAGATGAAGTGAGTTTTGAATCTGTAACTCTGTGAATCCTTAAAACAAACTGTTTAGATAAGACTCTTTGATGCTGATAAATTTTGATTCATTTTTCCCAGCATATAAACATTCACTTGAATCGTACTTAGTTAAATTGAAATTAGCTAACGATTAATGTGTAGGTGTAGAACAAATAGCTTGTACGATTGCAATTCATTTCTGTATACTGATCTTGTGAGGCATTTATTTTAATATCTGTTGAGCTAAAAAATGTTTAATAGTCGGAAAAGGTAACCTCATTGCACCAATAAACTATGGTGGAATAATTGATTTAGTTGTTTCTTGTAAATATCGGCGACCTACTTGAATATCTGGCCTACCTGTTCCTGTCATCTAGATATTTCAACAAGTTATCTGTTTTTGTTTGTTTTAACACACCATCATGTCTATAAATTGAACAACCTGTTCAGGCGCGTTTATGGAAAGCTTACGATCTTTCGCTGTACAGGTTACAAAAAAGTTCAATAAGCGACATTGTGGTTGCTGGTAATATACATTAGAAAGAATGAACATTATTCAGATGTCAATTCTTGAACTGCTAACATCTAACCGGCGACCACTCAATATTTATCGTCAGGATCGACCAAGAAATAAGAAAAGGAATCTTGTCGAAATACTTTGTGATGAAAATTCTATATTGTACAAAGAATATGATATTGAATAAAGCCATTAATAATAATAAAATTTAATAGTCAGTAAATGTTAATCACTCAATTTTAAGGTAGTGTCTAAATATTAACCTGGTTTCCAAAAAGAACTTAAAGATTCTATTTAAAACAATTGATCCCTTTGATAAATTTATGTAATACGAAGACGAAGATTATCAGAACTTCGTCTTCTTATTACACTATCCTAAAGATTCAATGATCAATTTCGTGTTCAGTTAATTGTACATTTACCGTTGAACAAGTTTTTAACTATGAGGTGCGAAATATATATCAATCGATCCCTTGTTTCTAGTAAAGTTCTAACTAACAATTTTGATGAAACTGTCTTCATGTATGACGTTTCAATCAATGAAAAATACTATAAGAGTAACGATAAACATTATTTTTCTCCACCTTGAAAGTTTTGTTCAATACATTGATTGGGTTTATAAGCGGATTTCTAGTTTACAAGTAACTTTCATTATGAACTGATATTACCTAGACAGTCATTTAATTAAAGTAAAGCACATTTTACAGTTGTTTCGTTCAAGCTTAAGACTAAATACCATACATTAGAGGTGTTCTATAAGAGCCCCTGACTGATTCTAGAGTTGATTGACGTTCTACTTACTTATTCAAAAGGTAAATTATTTTCAAACTTTCTTAGTTCCATTTATAACGTAGGTTCCGTTGTGTACAATTTGAAGATAGTTAATCTAATAGTTTTCACTGGTCATTAAACTGTTATTCACGTGTAATTAAATCACTTTTAAACTAAGAAACCTTGCTAAAACAGCTTTTTAAACATATTGAGTACTATATTTAGCCGGTAATATTTTAATGTCATGTATATTTTTAGTTTCTGTTTTATTCTATTTTACTCTTTATTTCTTTCTATATAGCTTATAAGAGAAGAGTATTTGCTGAGTCAAAGTGTTTAACTTGTCTGGAACGTGTTCCTAAATATTTAATTGTTAGTCTTGGTGAAAAGGTATACTAATGTTTGATTTTCACTACTTTTATTCCGTGAATTCTCTTCATAATAGGTTTAACTATTCCGTTATTGATATTCAAGACTAAATTTTAACCAGTCTTTGCATGTACCGTTACATTATGAGAAAATGTTTCTATTCAATCTCTTTTCTACAAGTAGGTTAGTGGATAATATGTCGATATTTCAAGCGACAGGTATTGAATTTGAGTACCGATGTGAACAGCATAGCGATACAGGTACATCCATGTAGTGACTTTCAAGTATGACAAAACGCCCGTTCCACAATCCAAAATATATTAAAACTTGTCAATAATTTTTGTTCTCATCAAGAAAATGATCAGTTTGATATTGAAGACACTAATATCGACTGTTGAAATCCTATAACAACTTGATTGTATTACGAATTAATGTAGAACAGACATTTCAAACTATTAGAATGACTAAATAGTTAAAGGTTATACTTCTTATGGAACCTAAAAATCATGGACTTGATCCCAAAATCTATATTGGCTAATCTTAGAATAAAAATAAAATTCACTTATTTAATACCCTCTACAGTTTTTAGAATTTATCTTTTTAAACTTCAACATATTTTTGAAAAACTATCCTCTAATTATTTAATTACTTATTTATTTATTCATTTATTTATAAAACGATGAAAAATTAGATGTTCTATGCAGTCAATAAATTTACCGATAGTCTTTATACTATCTTCACAGTTTTGTGATTTATATGGTTTCATTTTAAAGTTTTATAACATTTTATAACAAAAAAAGTTCTGTTTACTTTGAAGAAGCGGCCTATGTTAAGTCACGAAACGCCAGAAATACGACTTTTATACTCATCGGGATATAACATATATATATATCATTAATTTTCTACCCAACGCTCAATTTATTTGAAACTATCAAATTCATTCCATTTACTTCAGTCCTGGCTATTTGTAGTTTCACAAGCTTTCAATTTATTTGACTTATTCCCAGTTACAGTTTTGTGTACTTAGCTTCGAACCATACTGTAAGTGTGAGGGCCAATGATATTATTCAACTGTTTGAACTGTTATAAGTGGAGCCAGGTTAAAACCTACAATCTAGTAACTGAGAGCCGCTACCGCTTGGTCGAATATACACCCATCTTTTACACAGTTAATTACTCTATTGCATAAAAAAGGAAGTAACTGTCGTGTTCTTTTTTTTCTCCAGGTGTTTTTGTCTTTACCTTCCCATATTAGTATGACACCAGGTTATTGTTTACTTACACCTTATGAACATATCAGTTCAACTACTCGACTAGATGAAGATGCAATAAAAGAAATTCGACATTTCAAATATCAACTAACAGTAATGTTCGAAGAGCAGTACAGTCAGTCAGGTTGTGTTTTCATTGAAACTGCTAGTAAATCGGATACTATTCGTCATCATGCACAAGTGGAGTGTATTCCGGTTCCCAAAAAATTATACAGCTCACTACCTGCTTACTTTAAGGTAATTTATATGTATATAATTTTTATATATTGTTGGAAATTGATTATATGGAGGATAGTTTTGTTCATTGAAGACTGACATTAGTTGTAGTATCGTTGATTACCAGCAGGAAGCATGAGATAGCAATTTCGTTCTCGTCTCGACTTTCTTAACAGTCTGGGTCTACAATATCACACTTAGTTTCCTATCCAGGCTCTTCTATGTTATAGTGGGGGGAGGGGTGGTGTCTACGGTTGAGGAATCCTAAAACGAGAACGAGAGAGTCATTCGGTTCTCCAGCTGATTCCAGTTCATAATAATTAAAACAAAACTATTTCCACATACCAATTGTCGGATTTGCAATTTGTTAAGTTATCAATCTAATTGTATATGAATAAACTCAGATGACAGACTTACTTGACACGGTTAAATTTAAAAATTGAGTCTTATACATTTCTAATGGATAAAGTATCAAATTACTTTCATCTAAACACAATGCATTCTTTCCATTAGATTTTCAGTTGTGTCCATTTCGATTTAGGATAAGACGAGCAAGAACAAAAAGTGAAACCCGTAACCTGATAACATTAATAATAATAACTAACGGTTATCATTTAATCTGATACCATACTTTTGTTTACACGGCAAGTAAATTCTCATCACAAAATATGAACAATACTGAATTAAATTCCTCTTTAACGATACTATGATTAAGTGGCTTGGGGTGTTAATAGAAACGTATTTATTCTAACTGATAATATACAAATCGACAAAAATAAATTTTCGAAACATACCTTAGTACCATAAATGAACAATGTCTTAAGCGTGTTAAACCTACCTTAGTTGCTTGTCACTATAGATCCTAAGCATGTAACTAATTTCTCACACTTCAGCCAAAAATCGATTAAGAATATTGTGTTGGCCTGAAAAAATATTTACTGTGATGAATACAGAAAGTAACAAAAATATATCTGTTTGTTTTAGTTCGTCAACCCGTCATCCTTTATTTCCGTTTAAAAAAAACAAATACTAGCTATTATTTCTAGAATATTATGATTTCCACTAATCTGTGATAATTACTCTTCGCTAGTTTTGTTTCCCACAAAACGGAACAAAACAACAAAATTGTAAATAAGTGTTTGCTTCACTAATTTACAACTCCGCCTGGAGTCCCTCCGGGGGCTACTGCCGGTCCCAAGCCCGGATAAAGGAGGAGGGTTGGGCATGGGGTTAGCGTCCCCATCCCGTAGAAAACTAACTCGCTAAAAAAACGCTAACCAGAAAAAATTGTTCAAACCTTTTAAACTCTGCCCTGGGAGTCAGAAGGTCTTCATTTAGAAGAATTATGACGCCTCATGATGAAAGCCGAATTCCTTCGGAAGTTACGAGGCCGATGCCCCTTCTGACAACCAGAGCAACCATTTATTTAGGTACATGGAATGTTCGTACAATGTGGGACACCGGAAGAGCCTTCCAAATTGCTGCAGAAATGAGAAGATACAACCTAGAGGTACTTGGGATCAGTGAAACACATTGGACACAAGTTGAACAACAACGACTAACTACAGGAGAGCTCCTGTTATACTCCGGCCATGAAGAAGAAAATGCACCACATACACAAGGAGTTGCATTGATGCTGTCCAAACAAGCGCAAAATGCACTTATAGGATGGGAATCTCATGGACCAAGGATCATCAAAGCCTCCTTCAAAACAAAGAAAGAGGGCATTTCAATGAACATCATCCAATGCTATGCGCCTACCAACGACTACAATGAAGACGCTAAAGATCAATTCTACAATAGGCTGCAGTCAATCGTCGAGAAGTGCCCAACAAAGGACCTGACCATTTTGATGGGAGATTTCAACGCCAAGGTTGGGACGGACAACACTGGATATGAAGACATCATGGGACGACACGGACTGGGAGAAAGAAACGAAAATGGTGAGAGATTTGCAAATCTATGTGCCTTCAATAAGCTGGTCATAGGCGGCACCATATTCCCACATAAACGCATACACAAAACCACATGGACTTCACCGGATCACTCTACACAAAACCAAATCGACCATATTTGCATCAACAAAACGTTCAGGAGGACTGTAGAGGACGTGAGAACCAAGAGAGGAGCTGATATAGCATCAGATCATCACTTACTGGTCGCCAAGATGAAATTGAAACTCAAGAAGCACTGGACAACGGGGCAGACAGTATCACAAAAGTTCAATACGGCCTTTCTCCAGGATACTAACAAACTCAACAAATTCAAGATAGTCCTCAGCAACAAGTTCCAGGCCTTTCATGATCTACTCAATGGAGAAGGAACTACTGTGGAGAGCAACTGGAAGGGGATCAAAGAGGCAATCACTTCAACATGTCATGAGGTCCTGGGTCACAAGAAGCACCACCACAAGGAATGGATCACTGTTGATACACTGGATAAGATTCAAGAAAGAAAAAACAAGAAGGCAGCGATCAATACCAGCCGAACAAGAGCAGAAAAAGCTAAGGCACAAGCTGAATACACGGAAATAAACAAACAAGTGAAGAGGAGTATCAGAACCGACAAACGTAAATATGTGGAAGATTTAGCAACGACGGCGGAAAAGGCTTCAAGAGAAGGAAACATGAGACAATTGTATGACACGACAAACAAACTCTCTGGAAATCGCCGCAAAGCAGAACGACCAGTGAAAAGCAAGGAAGGCAAGGTAATCACCCACATTGAAGAGCAACAAAACAGGTGGATAGAACACTTCAAAGAACTCTTGAATCGACCAGCCCCACTGAACCCACCCAACATCGAAGCAGCACCCACGGACCTCCCAATCAATGTTGTCCCACCAACAATTGAAGAAATCAGCATGGCCATCAGACAAATCAAGAGTGGCAAAGCAGCAGGACCGGACAACATCCCAGCAGAGGCACTAAAAGCAGACGTAGCGGCAACTGCAAGGATACTCCACATTCTCTTCAATAAGATTTGGGATGAGGAACAAGTACCAACAGACTGGAAAGAAGGACTTCTAATCAAAATACCGAAGAAAGGCGATCTCAGCAAGTGTGATAACTACAGAGGCATCACTCTTCTCTCAATACCGGGAAAAGTCTTCAACAGGGTATTGTTAAACAGGATGAAGGACTGTGTAGACGCCCAACTTCGAGACCAACAGGCAGGATTCCGTAAGGATAGATCGTGTACAGACCAAATCGCAACTCTACGGATCATTGTGGAACAATCAATTGAATGGAATTCATCACTCTACATCAACTTCATTGACTACGAAAAGGCATTTGACAGCGTGGACAGAACAACACTATGGAAACTTCTTCGACACTACGGCGTGCCCCAGAAGATAGTCAATATCATACAGAACTCATATGATGGATTACACTGCAAAATCGTGCATGGAGGACAGTTGACAAAGTCGTTCAAAGTGAAGACCGGTGTTAGGCAAGGTTGCTTACTCTCACCGTTTCTCTTTCTCCTGGTGATCGACTGGATCATGAAGACGTCAACGTCTGAAGGGAAGCACGGGATACAATGGACATCTAAGATGCAGTTGGATGATCTAGACTTCGCAGACGATCTGGCCCTTTTATCCCACACGCAACAACAGATGCAGGAGAAGACAAACAGCGTGGCAGCAGCCTCAGCAGCAGTAGGTCTCAACATACACAAAGGGAAAAGCAGGATTCTCCGATACAACACAGCATGCACCAATCCAATCACAATTGATGGAGAAGATTTGGAAGATGTAAAAACCTTTACGTATTTGGGCAGCATCATTGATGAACAGGGTGGATCTGATGCAGATGTGAAAGCACGGATCGGCAAAGCAAGAGCAGCATATTTACAACTGAAGAACATCTGGAGCTCAAAGCAGCTGTCAACCAACACCAAGGTCAGGATTTTCAATACAAATGTCAAGACAGTTCTACTGTATGGGGCAGAAACTTGGAGAACTACAAAAGCCATCATCCAGAAAATACAGGTGTTTATTAACAATTGTCTACGCAAAATACTTCAAATCCATTGGCCGGACACTATTAGCAACAGCGCACTGTGGGAGAGAACAAACCAGATCCCAGTGGAGGAAGAAATCAGGAAGAAGCGCTGGAAGTGGATAGGACACACATTAAGGAAAGCACCGAACTGCGTCACAAGACAAGCCCTCACATGGAATCCTGAAGGTCAAAGGAAAAGAGGAAGACCAAAGAACACATTACGCCGAGAACTGGAGATAGACATGAGAAAAATGAACAAGAATTGGATGGAACTAGAAAAGAAGGCCCAGGATAGAGTGGGTTGGAGAATGCTGGTCAGCGGCCTATGCTCCATTGGGAGTAACAGGCGTAAGTAAGTAAGTAAGTAAGTAAGTCACTAATTTACACTATTCTATTGTTGTTATAACAGTAAGACTACTTGTTTTATTCGGTAGTATATATTTGATTGCAAAAAAGAAATCTGCGCACAAAATACGGAATATTACACCAAAGCTCACGTTTTGTTAAGTATTTCATCTGTGAATATCCAAAAACATATGCACAAAAATATTTTTTGGTTGCCATTTTGAGATAGTGGAGATTTTTAGTTCACGTGGATGATTTTAGTGGAGTTTTGTCTTCTAAGCTCCACCAAAATTAGTTCCCATTCTTCGTCATTCGTAATTGCTTACAACTAGTTTTTCTCCCTCAAATTTATTTGATTAACGAACTCTGTGGTAACCTCCTTTGTACAAGTCAATAGATATCTGTACACAGTAGCTAAGTGTATAATACGTTCAAAGCGGAAAATACTTGGTTTGAATCTTGTAGTGAACATACATATAGCTGATGAGTCCTGAATCAGACGAAAAACAAGTTCTGAATCCCACTGCTAGACACTATTCAACACCGTTGTTTTATTTCCTGAGTCTTTCAGTAACTAGATTCTCGGTAAACTGTAAATATTTTATGTAGGTGCGTAAATATACTCTAATGACAAGCATATTTAGTTCATTTTGACAAACCGAAAACGGGAAAATTTACTGAAAAAAATTATACACATTTAACGACGAAAATCTAAAAGTTTGAGCTGGTCGCATATGACGTAATTAATTTATAGTATTGATGACGCTCCATCAGATTTTACCGACTGACTGATGTGGTTCATCTAGACAATAAAAGCTAAAAACATTATTTACGATATTTCATTATTGTCTTTATGTTAGAAAGAATGTTGTGTAGGTTGTACTTATTTGTTATTATACAAAATCGATTTAGTCAAAATAATTTTAAGCATACATAGCTTACGTACAAAATAAAATGTATAGGTCAATGTAAATAGCTAGACCTAAAGATAGAAAAAAAGCTGTTTCAAAACTGAGCCAAGTAACTATCATTGACACATTTTTTTATTTTATCACTCGGTTAAATGCTGAATTAAGATCATGGATCGATGAATGTTAGACCACCATTAAAAACCTGAAAACACTGGGCGACCGTTTTATTTTAGCATGAGACTCCTTAGCAGTGCGCCTCCACGATCCCGCGTGCGAACGCTTAACCTCTAGACCACTGAGCCGAAATTCGAGTTTTAATGTCTAATTTAAACCAATCCACGAAATTGCGCGATGCTCTAATTGACCAATTACTTTATTTCATCTTTAAGGAGATCGGATAATGTTTTCTAGTGGAAACCTTGTAGCTCAAAGTCTTTAGTATGTGTATCTGTACTTTGTTTATTTGGTTGATAAAACAATCGGACCAGTTCGCTATGTCAATGCGCTGAGTAGTGGAAAGATAATGTTTCCGCATCTATTCAACACGGATCAGCTTGTGTTTAGGTGTAATATTCCTATAGTCGATACATATTTATCTCAAATCTAGTGTTTTCTATGACTAATTGACTTATTGGAAACAACTCAAGAAATAGGTTATTTCTGAAATCATTTTCATCTTCTAAATCTTATTACAACTAACTTTTCCATATAATACTTAACCCATGTTCATAGTGTTGTAACGTGTGGATTGCAGTTTAGATGGAGCAGCGTGTTATCGATCGATTACAGTAAGACGTAATGAACGGCCTGGAGTTCTGATTGGTCCCGATTCCCTGTCTAGCCAAGCCAGTTGAGTACAGAACGAGCCACAGCCTCTGAGATATGAATCGTTATATTTCAAACACTGTTTATATACCAACCAAACAGACCACATCGTACCATAAAAATAGAAAACAACATATGTACAATATTTAACGAGTGAAATAATTGCCAATAGGGAATGTCCATTTAAAGTCCAAGGACATCATTAGACTTAACATGATAATGATTGGTATATTCCTCCGCATCCCTAACACAAAGGTAATAGGGGTTCGTTGTATTCCACACAATACTCTGCAATTCTTTTCATGTGGTGATAAGGTTAATAGGTTTAGTCGATTTTGTTTTAAAGTGTCTATTAAAAATCGTAGTTTTCGAGTAACTAGTTAAAACTGTTGTTCGTTAATCTCTGAGACATAAACAGCTGTATATTTGCTAGTTGTGGTTGACTACTGATAAAACAAGTATAGAATCAAGCCTGAAAACCAGGTCTTCTTTTCATTGACGAAAATTCCCTCATGTGTCACTAATTTGCGGAAAAATCTTCAAAGTTGCCTTCACAACTATGGATACAATCAGAGAAGACATGCTCATGATTTTGCCCAGACTCCACAGGCACTTCAACAGAACCGTATTTTTAATTCTTACTCATGAAACTTTGAAACAACTTGAAGTAATCTCTATGATTTTCGAAATGACGTCACCATTGAATCCCAAAACAGTACTCCCAGTAGTAGCACGCATTTTACAGCGAACAGCACATCAATCATATCCATTTACTTCACCCTCAGTCAAATAAGAGGGTGAGATGATATGTAGATATCATTAAGCGAGCATTTACGAAGGCCAAAGCAAATATTTGCTGGCAGATCGTTTCATAAACCGGAAGGTACGAACAAGTTTCGACCCTTTGTTGTTATAAAAACGGCAACTTCCCCCCTTACTGGATCCACGCCTGAAGTCAAAGCATGTGCTGAGATTATCGGTCACAACATTCTATGTGAACTCAGGGTAACCAGTAAAAGAGCAAGGATCGATAATCTATTAGGTGCATCTCGGAAAAAGTATTCCGACCAAACACATTAAGGCAACCGGTTGAAACCTTTGACCACTTGCTATGGTCCGCTACGTAGTTAAGATCACCATATCGGGATATTCACTAGTTTATTTTGAAACAGATTGCCATATTGAATGTGTTTATCCTCACCTACGTTCTCTTAGTGGCTTATTTTAATAACATACTTTTCTGTTTGACAATTTCGTCTTCTATCTTATTGCATAATGTATTTATCCGGCAACCTACATTCAGTTCAGTCTCTGTTCTATAATATTCTTTAAATTATGAGATTTTGTTTTTCTAAAATTATTATTTAGAAAGCCTTAAGCGAAATTGGCTCTGAATGGGATCAAAATCGTCGCCTGATCACATTAAAACCGGGTGGATCTGGTGCGTATGGTGCAATTCCTCCGAAATTCGCTTATTTAGCTGTAGAGTTCGGTACTACAAATGGTGGTTTCGCACGTATTTTAGATGAAGAACATGAAATATCTTCATATTCTGGACGTGTAAGGATTTTCATTTGAGTAAATCGTATTTTCACAATTTGACTAAAATCGGTTTGAATGACCTAAATTTACCTCGATAAGTAAATAGCTAAAAAGCGCCAGTAAAAACTGCATATGGTCTACAAAAAAATACGACTATGATAACATAAAATATCATTCAACTGTCGAATCAGCACCATGAAAACAGTTACTAAACACCCTCAGGTCAAAAGTTACAACTCTTTATCATCCATGTCAATCTTTTATTCTAATTTGCTTTAATAAATGAAGCGGGTTTCATCATATGAAAATCTTTACAAATCATGTTAACAATGATCTCGAGAATAGGAATATAGAAAATTGCGTTCTGATTACATAAAAATGCAGTGTGATTACATCATTAAAGTTAAAAATTTTCAGCAAACGTTAGTAGTTAATTGACTTTCAAGGTTTGGAAAAAATCGAAGTGACAAACTGATAAACAGTGGAAATTAACATTTCCTTTTTATGATTGTTTATCAATAACAGTCTTTTATGTAGAACATTCAAAATTAATCTTACTGTAATTAGATTTTTTTTAATGACATTTTTATGAATTTACACATTAAAATAATAATATTGTTTGTAAATTAACGATTGTCTTTGAATGATTTCGATTTGTAATTTCATATCGGTCAATCGTAAACGACAATGTCATGTTTGACAAAAATAGTTAGTATTAGCATAAATCTTCATATCACAACATTAGAACAAAGGAATGAAGTATTAACAAGATGTTACATTAAACTAGTTGAACTTATTATAGTAAGAATGATATTGAAGAATATTGAGTATTAAAAAATATGGTTGGTGAAGAGGAGAACTACTAAAACCATCATCAAGAAGGTACAAGTATTTATCTACGCAAGATACTCAACATCTATTGACCGGATACCATCAGCAACAACTGTCAACCAATATCAAAGTCAGAATCTTCAATGAGAACGTCAAGACAGTTCTACTGTACGGAGCTGAAACTTGGAGAACTACAACAACCATCATCAAGGTGCAAGTATTTATAAATAGTTGTCTACGCAAAATACTCAATATTGGTTGACCGGATACCAATACTATCAGCAACAGCCTTCTGTGGGAGAGAACAAACCAGCTCCCAGCTGAAATTTCGCGAAGAAAAGCTTGAAAATAATCTGGATAGCTCATTCCCATTCTTCGCTTTTTATTCACTATGTCCCATAACACAGTTTTTTTAATTCATGTTTAATTATGATAAAATAAATTTTACAATTTGATTTTTACTTTAAAATTGTCATTTTATCAAGTTCCTTATTAATTCCATTCTAACAGGAAATTATAGCTGGTGCACTAGACAAAGAGCCTCGTCTATGGCGTAAACCGAAATTGGAGAATTTTGAACATTTACGTCAAAAAGTTGTAACTTTTGAAAATCTATGGCATACATACGATAAATGGCAACCGAATAAACTGAATACTCATTCTTCAAATGATGCACAAATAATTAATGATGGAGAGTCAGGTTCAAACAACCGTGAATTTGAACCAGAAGGTCCAGCTTTACCTCCAGGATATTGAATTTTGTAAATGTATCATATATATATACAGTGTACATATATATTCGTTATTTTTTGCTAGTCTCAAAGTATGAATAACTAGATTCATTCTGCACATATTGCTCTTGAGTGAATCGTTATTTTTTATATTTAAAAATATTTTTAATCATGTATTCGGTAGTTTTTTCTAGTTATGGATCAAGGAAGTTATTTATAAAAAAAACTTGTGATATTTTCATTACTTGAAGGTAGTCAACAAAAAACCTTGGATCTAGGCTGGCACTCGTCTGCAAATAATTTAATTTATATTAATAACAAGAAATAGCATCAAATGTTAGTATCAAAACAATAGTATGTCATTTCTTATTAGGAAAATTTTATTCGAAATAGAAAATACACAAAACAATAAGAAAAATATAATCCAACTCAGTATTACTGATTTCATTGAGCGGATTTAATGCGATAATCGGTACAAATCTGTATTGATGTGATAGCTACCTACTCTTACCCGGAACTTTAAATCTCACTGAACCATAAAATATAATAAAACAAGTATTCATATATTTTGTAAAAATATTACTCGTTATATATCCTCTTGTAAGGAATATAAAACCATGATAAAAAATTATTAAGATAAAATGTATGGATAGGTTCAACAATAGGATATATTGTCTATTAGCCTTTTTTAGATCACACAGCAGCATGATTTGAAGAATTGTTACCTCATAAGACAATCACTTTGTCTTTTGATTTTTAATTAGACTGTTTCTCATCAACCTCCATTCATTCAAAGATTCTTGTTCAAATTCTAACTCTTCTGAACTTGATTGTATTACTTTAGCTTTGTTCTTAAATGTGCCAATTTTCTCCTAATAGTTGGGGATTTCTTTAAATCAGAACGTTTAAGCTTCAAGTTTCACAGTGAGCATGATGCCGAAAATATCTTATGCACATTTCCTGCTATTGATGAAAATAAATGAGCACTTTTCTTGAATGAAGAAACTGTCAGCCACACTACTGAATACAAGTTCTTTCAAAATAAAATTATGTAAATTGATAATTTATGCATGAGGTTTATTTCACGTTGAAATTAAGGAACGAATTCGATCAATTATTATTGTAATCCACCCATCTTGAGCGGATTCGCTTCAGTTTAGAATTTTACTAAATTTGGATTGTAACTAGCAGTTAAATCCAGAATCCGCATTTTTTCCTATTTAAAGCCTGTCAGGTGGATGTACCTAAATCCTAGTATTAACACGTGCATATTCAAACTCTAACCAAATACCGTTTGTTTTAATACACGAGATATCTTGTAGCTGAGTTTACAATAGCTTGAATCGAGAAACCAACACAATTTTGAATGCATAGGTGTACATTTGTAAGAGATTATGACATAAATGACTACTTCACAGATTAATATGATAGAAATGACTTTTCAATTATGTTTGTTAAAATTGGCTTATCGATGTTTTCTTATACTGGTCTACATTCTTTCAATTAATAAATAACTATAATAACATACTATGCTCTCTGAGTGATCTTAACCTATAACATTTAACATAAGCTAATTTGTTATTGTTAATTAATATAGAGGTAATTTATTCAGGTATCTATATGTTTTTTTTAAATCAACTTTCCGACTCAATGAATAGCTTTGATCAAGCTAAATAATAATTTGATTGATTCCCAATATGTTTTTAAAATAATTATCTTGATATTAAGTTCAGTTTGTATTGATGAATAGGGAAGAGGAATTTTTTTTCCCATACGACAACCATAGAAATAACAATCGTAATTTTGATATTAAGTAAATAAACTCTGAGAAAGTGAGAGAGAGAGAACAACAACAGTAAACATACAATGTTATTTCCCGTTAGTAAAAACTACTACCAATTCAATACTGTATAATAAATCAAATATAAGAACAAGATTGTTTTAATAGAGATGAAAGTAAATAAAATTTTCAAGGCAAACGGACAACACAATATTAACTTGTTAAAAAAAACAATCAAGAAAAATTAGTATTAATACAAAGAATAATAAATAGAAATGCATAATTATTCTGGGAGAAAAATAAACCTGAAAAAATGGGAATAATTCCGTGTATCAATTAAAATTGACAACGATGTTATTATGTATATGGGCAGATGTGTTATGGATCGGAAAAATAGGAGCAGATATATATATGAGTACAACAGATTATCTGTGCGAATATTCAATCCTGTTAACGTGTGATTAATATTAAAATAAGTAATATTATCCCAATGTTTTAAAGAAAAAAAAATAAACAGAACACAAAAAAACACGAGATAAAATAAAATGACCATCATCATTAGTCTATTTAAAAAGGAGGCGTTTTTTCAAAACCATATATATAAAGACATCTGACTATATATGTAAATAAAACCTAGTTCAAAGAGAAATGAAATCATTGGGACTTCCCACAATATATTTACGTACATAACAGAGTACAAGTTGCAAATTCCTATGAGATTATTATTGTGAATCAGATCATTTCATCGGTTGATAAACATTGTCAATACTCACAGAAATAAATGCTCCAGATACAACAAATAAGAGATTAAATGTATAATATACACAACCAAGTAAATTCTCTTTATCATATATACCGAGGAATAATTTGTCCTGTCAATAGACGGAAGACTGAGGTAGGCATTGTTCGAATATGTATCTTTATTGATAGGAAATTGAACAAAAAGAAAAATACGATGATGAGATTGTTTGTATACAGAATTTAGGTTAGTTTAATTTTATTATTGGTCAAAATAAACGGACTCATGCAGACAGCTATTAAAAGAAAATTTCGATCTGGAAAGGACAAAATATGTAAGCACCGTTTGACTCCAATATTAACGATTCTGAAAATTACATCTATCATATTAGTGTCGACCTGAGTCAGATGGGACAATGCTGCGGTTAGTGTGGTTCACTTAACCACATGGACTGATGATTTGCATGCATTCGTGTGTGTAGGCTGTTAAGTATTCAATCGGTAGATGAATACAAGGAAAAATACCGAATCGAGACGAGAATGAATATTACTGAGTTATTGGTGAGTCGCATATAGCTAAAGGCGTTTCATATTATCAACACAACAGTAGAAGTGATTTGTGGTTTAGTAGGTTACACACGAGTGTTCATTATGATACATAAATGAAGAAAGGAATATACATATATATGAGATGTAATATGCTATAAAATCACCTTCAAAATGTAGATACAAATACAATATGAAGTAAAATTGCACGCACAAGTCAGTCAGTAACAACATAGAACTTCGTACGTATGTACATCAGTTCGAGTTGCCATACCACATTAGCACAGAGATTCAGTTGTCGATTCAAATCCCGTAGTGCTTGATGTAGTAAAATTATAAGCTGTAATCAGAAAAATTAGGGTTTGGAGATGTTATTTAAAGAGCATAATCCAGTGAAACAAATTTCGAAAGAGAAAAAAGAAAGGGACATGAAGAATTCAGAAGACTAGAATTTGGGAGAACAAAAAGTGGATGCACCTGCGCCATTGCAAACGATTTTGAGCCATGTCATTCAGGGTCTCTAATCATCGGTTGCTATCATCTCGCGATCCTCAACCAGGTAGTCTACACCTAACAACATGACTCAGTCCACTTGTCAGTGACTTCACGGACTTGTGCCATGTTTTGGTCTGGCCGCCCCTAGCTTTCTTCCAATCTACTCCTACACCATAAAACATCGCACGTCTATGCAGTCGGTGGTTGGACATACATAACACGTGTCCCAGCCATCTCAACTGATGAAGTTTCACTACTTCATCAATTGATTTGCCAGCCTTACCTAGTACCCGTTTCCTAACAACCACGTTATTTACTCGATGGTCCAAGGATATACGAGCAATGTTTCGAAGACACCTATGATCAAATACTAGTAACCTACGAATATCCTCTACTCTTACTGGCCATGTTTCATTGCCATAAAGTAGGACGGAACGAACTGCTGCGCAGTAAACACGTCCTTTGGTTGATAGACGGATATCTCGCCTACGCCGTAAATGACGCAAGTTGGCAAGAGCTAGTCGCGCCTTCTGTATCCGTGCTGAGATTTCGTCACACACCAGACCACAAGGGCTGATGAGACTTCCAAGATAAGTGAAGCGGTCGACACACTCAACTACTTCACTCCCTATTATTAGTTCGGGTGACGATGCAACCCGATCATGAAGCAACGTTTTACATTTCGAGGGGGAGAATCGCATGCCGAACATGTTTGCATTGTTGCTTATAGTGGTCAGAAGACTGCATTTTGTCAGCGTCTTCACCAAATAGAACTATGTCATCGGCATATTCTAGGTCAAAAAGTGAATCTGCGGTAGAAGTTCAACCTCTGGAAATTTAGATAAGGAAAGTGTCATCTCTAAAAGCACTCAATGATCTAGACAGTCATTTGAAAACGTAATTCATAACTGCTGCGTCTCAGGTTTGGTCAAAGCTCCACCTAATTGGACTTAGCTTAGTAGTGTTATTACAGTAGGGACAGGAAAAATCCCCGTTTTATTGGCTATATATGAGTATGGACATTTTACTCTTCTACGTGTATGCGCTGCACCAACTATTAAACACTTGTCTAGTTGAAAGTGGCAGGGATGTAGTAAAAAACTTCCAATTAAAGTAATTTACATGTAGGTTAGTACTTATCAAAAAAGCATTAATTTTAATTTAAACTGTATTTTATTTGTGTAGTTAATTGTGGGGATGATTTTAATTTTGGAAGTTTTCTAGACTGACCGATCTCAGTCGTTTCATAAGTTAAGTGATATCACCAATAACACTGGATAATCATCGCGTTATATCACGAACTGATTGAAATGGGTCAGTTGATTCTGACCCTGAGTACCACAAATAACATGATCGCCGTGAGTAGTTATTATCTTGGATTTAACGCCTAGTAGAGTTTGTGCGTGAAAACAATTTCGAATTAGAACAGAACACTTGTCGATTATTATTTTCTATTTGATTTTCAACGTTTCACGAGCTGAAATTAGTAGTAGATAACATAAATATTAAGTCAAATTATATTTACTTAGGTATATAAACTCAGGGGAACTTCTGTTATGGAGAACAAAATGCTCCACATACACAAGGAGTTGCATTGATGCTGTCTAAACAAGCACAAAATGTACTTATAGGATGGAAATCTTATAGACCAAGGATCATCAAAGCCTCGTTCAAAACAAAGAAAGAGGGCATTTCAATGAACACCATCCAATGCTATGCGCCTACCAACGACTGACATTAAGACGTTAAAGATCAATTCTACGATAGGCTGCAGTGAATCATCGAGAAGTGCCCAACAAAGGACCTGACTATTCCTGATGCGAGACCTAAATGCCAAGTTTGGAATAGGCAACACCGGATATGAAGACATCATGGGACGACATGAACTGGGAGAAAAACACGAAAATGGTGAGAGATTTGCAAACCTATATGCCTTCAATAAACTGGTCATAGGTGGCACTATATTCCCATACAAACGCATACACAAAACCACATGAACTTCACCGGATCACACTACACAGAACCAAATCGACCATATTTGCATCGAAAAAAGGTTCAGGAAGACGATGGAGGATGTAAGAACCAAGAAAGAAGTTGATAAAGCATCAAATAATCACTTGCTGGTCACCAAGATGAAATTGGAACTTAAGAACCACTGGACAACGGGGCGGACAATATCACTAAAGTTTAATACAGCCTTTCTTCAGGATACTAACAAACTCAACAAATTCAAGATAGTCCTCAGCAACAAGTTCCAGGCCTTTCATGATCTACCCAATGGAGAAGAAACTACTGTGGAGAGCGACTGGAGAGGGATCAAAGAGGCAATCACTTCAACATGTTATGAGGTCCTGGGTCACAAGAAGAACCATCATAACGAATGGATCATTGTTGATACATTGAAAAAGATTCAAGAAAGGAGGAACAATAAGGCGGCAATCGATACCAGCCGAACAAGAGCAGAGAAAGCCAAGGCACAAGCTGAATACACAGAAGTTAACAAACAAGTGAAGAGGAGCATTAGAACCGACAAACGTAAATATGTGGAAGATTTAGCAATGACAGAGGAAAAGGCTGCAAGAGAAGGAAACATGAAAGAACTGTATGACACGACAAAGAAACTCTCTGTAAATTACCGTAAACCAGAACGACCTGTGAAAAGCAAGGTAATCACTAACATTGAAGAACAACGAAACAGGCGGATAGGACACTTCAAGGAACTCTTAAATCTACCAGCTCCACTGAACCCACCCAACATCGAAGAAGCACACACAAACCTCCCAAGCGATGTTGGCCCACCAACAATTAAAGAGATGAGCATGGCCATCAGACAAATCAACAGTGGCAAAGCAGTAGGATCAGACAACATTCCAGCAGAGGCATTAAAAGCAGACGTAGCAGTAACTGCAAAGATACTCCACATTCTCTTCAATAAGATTTGAGATTAATAACAAGTATCAACCGACTGGAAAGAAGGACACCTCATCAAAATACCAAAGAAAGGCGATTTCAGCAAGTGTGATAAATACAGGGGCATCACTCTTCCCTCAAAAAGCCCCCAAATGCCCTGGTACGGCCGAGAGTGAGAAGAGTCCTCTCTCCCTCTCCAAATGCTCTCACATGGCCACGCGTATATAGCCACTGCCAGGGAAGTCTTACTCAATGCCTTCTCGTGGCGTGTGTGTTGTTTACGAAAATGAGAGGACGAAAAACGAATGTACGGCGCTTTAACCGGATTTCAAACCAATGTTGCACATGGGCTCCAGTATCCTGCGGGAACAAATGGCGTATGAACCAATTGTTGGTCACCGGCTTTCATGGGACTGCATCTCCTTACGATGCTCCACTGGCTTGTGGATCAGACCTATAGGTCGAAGGCCCCGGGTGTGGCCCCCTAAGAAAACCACCTGCTTCGGTCCGGGCACCCAAGCAGTATCACAGCCCTCACACATATCGAATGAGATTTGTGTGGCGCATATTTATTTGGTACCTCCTTGTGCCAATGTCTATGTGTTAAAATAAATAAATACAATACAATACCGGGAAAAGTCTTCAACAGGGTATTGTTAAACAGAATCAAGGACTCCGTAGACGCCCAACTTCGAGACCAACAGGCAGGACCAAATCGCAACTCTACGGATCATTGTGGAACAACCAATTGAATGGAATTCATCACTCTACATCAACTTCATTGACTACGAAAAAGCTTTCGATAGCGTGGACAGAACAACACTATGGAAACTTCTTCGACACTACAGAATTCATATGATGGATTACACTGCAAAATCGTGCATGGAAGACAATTGACAGACTCGTTCGAGGTAAAGACCGGTGTCAGGCAAGGTTGTTTACTCTCACCCTTCCTCTTTCTCCTGGTGATCGACTGGATCATGAAGACGTCAACATCTGAAGGGAAACACGGGACACAGTGGACATCTAGGATGCAGCTGGACGATCTAGACATCACAGACGATTTGACCCTCCTATCGCAATCGCAACAACAAATGCAGGAGAAAACGACCAGTGTAGCAGCAGTAGGTCTCAATATACACAAAGGGAAAAGCAAGATTCTCCGATACAACACAGCATGCGCCAATCCAATCAAAATTGACGGAGAGGATTTGGAAAATGTGAAAACCTTTACATATTTGGGCAGCATCATTGACGAACAGGGTGGATCTGATGCAAATGTGAATGCACGAATCGGCAAAGCAAGAGCAGCATATTTACAACTGAGGAACATCTGGAACTCAAAGCAACTGTCAACCAACACCAAGGTCAGGATTTGCAATACAAAAGTCAAGACAGTTCTATTGTATGGAGCAGAAACCTGGAGAACTAGGAAAGCCATCATCCAGAAAATACAGGTGTTTATTAACAGTTGTCTACACAAAATACATCGAATCCGTTGACCAGACACTATCAGCAACAACCTACTATGGGAATGAACAAATCAGATTGCAGTGGAGGAAGAAATCAGGAAGAAGCACTGGAAGTGGATAGGACACACATTGAGGAAAGCACCCAACTGCATCACAAGACAAGCCCTCACATGGAATCCTCAAGGCCAAAGGAAAAGAGGAAGACCAAAGAACACATTACGCCGGGAAACGGAGATAGACATGGGAGAAATGAACAAGAATTGGATGGAACTAGTAAAGAGAGCCCAGGAAAGAGTGTGTTGGAGAATGCTGGTCGGTGGCCTATGCTCCATTGAGTGTAACTGATGTAAGTAAGTAAGGTATATAATAATTTGATGAGTATGATAGAAATGCATAGATGTAACGTCAAGCGTGAAAAAAATTGAGTTTCATTTGAACTAATGAAATTTTTAATATTAATTTTAACAAATTATTTTTTCACACACTTACTTCACCAACTGAAGTAGCCAGAAGTTGTACAATTTTTTCATGTGATACAGCAACTACACTTTCACCATTAATTTCAATAATTCTATGATCTACACGAATTCCACCACGTTCAGCAATACCACCACGAAGTAGGCTACAAATTACACCATCTTGTACACTGAAACCAAGTTGATAATTTAAACTAGGACGACGAATAAGTACTTCAACAACAGGTGGACAACTGATTATCATTAATTTTACGATTGTAGATTGCCGACAATTCTGTAAAGATTATATAAATGTAAAACTGTTTTTCTTTAGAAAACGTCTATCTTGATGATGACTTACACTACACCATTATAAAAAATGTCCAATTAATTTAATTCATCAAATTAGGTAGTCCATTGTCCATATGATTTCATAACTAGCAGGGTTTAGTCACAAAGGGATTTTCCAGAATACTCATACAACCTTCAAGACACTGATAAATTAATCTATTACAACAAAACATTGAAGAAAACTAAAAATTCTGGCCAGTCATCAGAGAACATTCACAAGTTGGATATATGGTTGTAAACTTAAGTAGAAGGTATTTACACGACACATGGACTATCTGGTTGGGCTTTGAGTGATTACCGTCAGCAAGGGGTTTGACTTCAGCTGATTGGGATTAAAATCGTCTGTAATACAACAGGTTCATCCACTTGATTTCTTTCCTTAGATCTAAAGTTTACTTCACTAATCTATATTTTCTTCTCGAAGTGTATCTTCGATACGTAGACTTTTTTATTACTACTAACACTTACGACTTTACCACTCTGAGACTTACACTGACAATTTCACCGCATTGCGCGTAGAACGTAGTATTAGCGTTTATTTGAAATCAAGAGTGATCTGAAACAATAACACAACAGTCAAGACCGGTAAATGCCTCTGACGTAAAAACGCGGCGTATTAGCACAACAGACTTAAAAGACGCGGTTCGGGTACAAAAAGGGAAAACTTATTACAAAATAGTTTTATCCATCGTTCTGCAGGTTCAGCTTACGTAAGGCTTATTCCTCTTCTTCCAGTATGTTTACTCTTTGATGCCCTGCAATAAGTTGGTTTTGACTAGGCGATACGCGTCGGCGAGACGACTACGAGAATTACGGATTTATGATACGTGGTCCTGAGCCTCACATGGTAACAACGGTATTTGTATCTCGACAGGTAGGTGTATTTCATTCCCATGACTGGCATACCTGGGGGAAGAGTTGGCTTTCAAAAGCTGCACTTCGGTCAAAATAGAACGCTGTAACGGGAAACCCAATGATCGTTCGTGCCGCCATGAAGGCATCTTGTTGTGGAATAGGGACGCCTTCACACCGTTTGCTATAACAGCCCACCATCATCAGTATTAAGCAACACAATTTAAAGGTGAAACCATCTAAATGTCGACTTTTGCAAAAAGTAGTACTCTTTTTGGGATAATCGTTCATCAATAAGTCGTTGACTGAATGTTGGGATGATGTAATACCTCAATGCATCTTAACTTATCACGCATCATTGCACTGGTCCACAGGATTTTCACCTGTTACTTTACTTTTTGGGCATGAATTACACCTACCTTTCGAGATACAAATGCCGTTGTTACCATGTGAGGCTCATGACCATGTACCATAAATCCGTAATTTTCGTAGTCGTCTCGCCGACGCGTATCGCCTAGTCAAAACCAACCTACAGAATGCTAGCAATCACCAGAAGGATGTATACGACCGACAAGCGAACGAGTCGGTGTATAAATCTGGAGATCGTGTTTGGCTGCACCGCCCTGTGGCTCCATCAGGAGCATGCAGCAAAGAGTAAACATACTGGAAGAAGAGGAATAAGCCTTACGTAAGCTGAACCTGCAGAACGATGGATAAAACTATTTTGTAATAAGTTTTCCCTTTTTGTACCCGAACCGCGTCTTTTAAGTCTGTTGTGCTAATACGCCGCGTTTTTACGTCAGAGGCATTTACCGGTCTTGACTGTTGTGTTGTTGTTTCAGACCATTCCTGCTTCCAAGTAAACGCTAAAATTACATGTGCAACTGGTGATGGAGGTGGGATTAGAACCCACGTTAATGGGGCATGACATGTATACATATCTCAGATTCTATATTGTGCATCACTGATGAACTGACTAAATTATCCTTAAGGAGAAATACACAAAATGGCGTAACCTCTCAATGTAGTTGCATAATAACCCTATTTTATTTGACCTATAAAAAACGTCTTTATTATTACACACCTTAAATCTTAGTGAGAATTCAAATAAGAACACACTGTATCATCGTGATCAAAATTAAATGTGAGATGGTAAAGATTTGAAGCTCAGATGGATGGTGAAAGCTCCCTTACCTAACCATTTAGCCTAGAGAATAAAACCACCAAAATTAAATGTAACAAACAATTAACATTCAAAATTTACTTTAATTATTTGTTGACATGTTAAAAGTGGCAGGCCAACTAAACTTTGCCCATTAACAGCGACAATTTGATTTCCGATATTCAGTTGTCCACATCGTGCAGCTGGACCAGTTGGATGCATATTAGCTAATAAAGCAGTTGGTAATAGACTGCCCCAACCAGATTCTACAATTACGACACCTAATGATTCACCTTTTTGTTTCGGTATAGTAACCTGTAAAAATTAAGTAAAACATTTGGTTTATGAATATATATAAATGCATATTAGGGGAACTGAGGGTGAAGTCAGTCAGTCAGTTATCTACAACGTAAAACCGGGCACATATGCATCGGTCCAAGTTGCCATACCTCATTAGCACAACTAGATGAACACCGGATTCATAGTAGTTACTTCAATGATAGTACTATGCAAAGAAGATTGCATATAAGGATATGCTATAGGGAGAAAGAATTAGTTTGTAGGAAGGAAGGTATAGAGTAATTTTAATCTCATGGTTTAAGGGAAGACATCTAAAACATCTAAAGATATTTGTATGAGTTAGAGTATGATCATGGCCGACTTCTTACAGAAACTGTATCGGTAATTCTTGTTTAGATTTCAATGGTCATTTCCTAATTCACGTTTTTCATCAAGTTGAAGGTTGTAAATAAATTTATCAATTGAAGACTTGGTGCATGGGATTCGAATGAATGAATCAAACGTTGAGTATTTATTTTCTTACCGCTACAAAGATAATACAAGATTATAAATGACACAACAGTTATTGTACTCCTTTGTGATTATTAACGCCATTATTACTGTTCCTCATAGTTTACATTGAAAACTAGGAAGCCCAAAATAGCGATGTTGCGTTTTAGAAAAAAAGATCCTTAATAGAATACAACCAATGTCAAGTTTAAGACAAGTTTTGAACTGAAAACTTTAATAGATCGTAGCGAGTATGTTACTTTTAGGCTGTTAAGTCAAAATGATTTGATTTCAGTCGATTTGCGATGATGAAATAATAATAATAATAATACTATTATTATTACAACTAAGATAATCAAAACACAAACCGGCTGAATACTAGAGTAGTCAATGGATAATCTAGTTAAACCACTCACTAAACAAAAATGAAAAGAAAAAAACATACCTCTTTATGATTATCTTTATCACAAAATAAAGAAAGTTCATCACAGAATATTTCTTGTTGTTTTAAAATATCATCATAATCTAATTGTTTTATAATGCCTAAATCTTCAATACCATTTTCTCGTAGAAAATCTAAGTAAGCAAGTTGAAATGCGTGTCCAACTGTTTGAGCAATTAATTGAGCCTTAAATGACAGAAAAAAGGACACCAAATGAATTAATTCAACTCACTAATGATAGGTTTATGTACTTATCAGACTTAAAGAAAATCAAAGTTTACTTATGCATTAAATTATTAACTATTCTTCATAGTGTAGATGCTGTGTTATTGATAGCCACTACCATTTTGATGTGATGATGAATGTTGTTGATAATTGATTTTTATATATTCAAGTTGCTAATTTTGAAGAGATTGCGATATCAGCTAAAACGGGCGAATGGAACGAAAGTCAGTAACACAACAACAAAACAAGCTAAAGTATCCCACTGTACCCCAACCCTGCTAACTAGAGGGAGAAGACCAGATTCAACCAAGGTAAAAGTATATTCCACAAGCAGTTTAAAGCATGAATTAACAAGCGCACAACTCATACGTACATATACAGTACAAAAATGTCCTTGGAAAACGTCACAAAATACAGTGACGAGAGACGAACCAATGACATATAAGATTCTCACAAGTGGGAAATACAAACTGAAGGTAACAGTATGCACTTTTAGAGTGAAAGTGAGAAATTTAAACTTCCAAAATAAAATTACCAAAATGAGACGTTTACCAAGTGATTTCTGGAGATCTAGCATCCCCAACACAAATATATGCATACATTGAAGTAATTAGACAAAGAAATGACACAATATCATATTAATCCAGATCCTGACTAAGTTGTATTGGTTTGCACTTTTCAGTAGTAGTTCCCATAATAAAATGGAATTCGGTTAAAATTAGTTGAAAATCAGTCGTTAGATCCTTTTCATTAAAATACTATTATTTTAAAAATAGTAAGACAACTTAGTATAGAGGATATAACCAATTATTCACAAGAAAACTTTTTTTACTTAATATTCCCATGGATATGTAATTTATCCTTGAAATTTACCAAATTGTTATTCGACTCATAAAGTTAATAGTGATCTGACAATTTAATCGCGCTCTGCTAATGAGGTTTGGCAAATTGAACCGCTTTACAAATATGCTAGGTTCTATGTTGCGTATAACTGATTGACCGAGCAGTATACTGCAGTCTTGAGTCTTTAGAAGCTTCAGTAATGTACACTAACACATTTGATCACTAAACAACCAGAACAAGGTAAGGATAATTAGTAGTTTGACAGACCTTTCTCACAAAGTTCCAAATTACACTAACTAATCAGAGAATCTTCGGCATTTTCACTGGCTTGTGAAGGATTTTTTCGAGGACTTCTAACAGCAAGGTCTTAAAAGTACGGAACTAACGCATCAAGAACTACTCCCAAAAAATCTGTGTCCAAACAGCCTTAAACACTTATCCCTTGGGCTTTAAGATCACGCTCCTTAGTCAAAAAGACCACTAATAATCAAGTTTTCGATTCAGATACTTTAATAAAAATGTATCCTTCCACGGTGTGGGCAACAAGGAAGGTGGAGATGCTCTCACATCCCTGACAGCACTAGAGATCCTCTTATTCACGACCATATACCTTCACCACTTAATATTTCTCTTAATCCTACTATCAACCCTTTTCCTATGGCATCACCTTTATCCTAACACGCTACTAATGCTAACGATTCAAGTCCACGAAATGTTATTCTTTCTACTGAAACTATGCTTCTAACTACATGTTGGTGCTTTTAATGTTCGCAACTTCGGTTAAATCGAACAACAGACTGTATTAGCTAGGACTTAGTAATAATAATAACAATACGTAGCTACCAGCTACAAACTTTATACAATTTCTTGATATTTACATGTTATGTCATTGACTAAAAGTTCGTTTATTTTTTTATAGCAACAAAATAAGACTTCCATATTAGACGAATTTGATAACATACAAAACAGAATTAATAAAAACACACAAACGTTATGGCAATAAGAAAAAAAAGTAAATACATACTTCTGTTGATTCTAACACATGACAAATCATTTTCATTGGCTTTTTTGATTTTTCTATCATTGTTGATTTTGTAACACTGGAAATATTTGAATTAGGTGATACTACTGAGAGTTGTTGCTCAGTATTATTATTATCGGCGTTATAATTTGAATTTTCTTTCGGTTCATTATTCTGATGATTAGACGTAAAATAATTTTCAGACTCATCTGATTGTGTTGAAGGATCTAATCGACGTGACATTAGAACAAATAAGTCGCCAATATCAGCAATATATGAAACTGCACGTAATTTATGATCAATCAAAATATCCTATGACAAATTAAATAAAAGAATAAGATAAAACAGAACTTATTTAAAGGATTTTTTAATTTGTTGCCTATTTTCCATTTTGTTTATTATTATTGTGTAAATAAATACATTTGAAAATATCCCAAGTAGTAGGAGGGAGATGGTAGAAAACATTAAATCTAGGTTTTGTTGCTACTGACTTATTAGGGCCACGCATACCTGCCTCAATGATATGTTAATTAGGTTATTGAGGTGTAAAAATAGATATGGTGATATGATGAGTATTCACGAATAAAACAATGAGAATATAAGACATAAGTAAAGGGGGGAATGCAGTAATAATAATAATAATAGGATAATCAAAATAATTAAGGGCAAGGTAACGATAACGATAAGACGTACTTCTTTTGTACGCATAGTTCTGGTTTAAGCTCCTGGATGGTAAGAGCTTCGGCTATTTTTAAAAGTTGGATGCGAAGAAATCTGGGTAGTTTTGAACGAATCATATAAACAACCTTAAATTCGAAGCTCTTACCATCCGGGAGCTTAAACCAGAACTATGCGTACAAAAGAAGTACGTCTTATCGTTATCGTTACCTTGGCCTTAAGCATTTTGATTATCCGATTAGGTTATTGCCGAGAAAATAAAATATTTCTTGAAAATAATTGTGGTAACTCGTTAATGAGTTATCCTTATTATCCTGTTGATAGAATGGAAAAAACGGTAGTATAGTTTAGCAATCAAACATAATCGTATGAAATTGGGTTTGAACTAAAACGCATTTGCATAAGCAAATTAACCTGTTAATCAGCTATTTAAAGAAACGTTGATAGAGAATTCTCAGGGGGTTGAAATTTTTTTAACATTTCAAACATTAAGTCATCGTGAATTCATTGTGTATTGTTTGTTTGAGTCTTCTCGTTGATGTTTATGACCGCAACTGACCAGTTACTTATTAGCATATGTGGATTCTGTGCTGATTGCCTCAATATCGCTTTAAGTCACATGCACTATAAGCAAAGATAGATGGTGGGTAGAAGTGGAATCCAGGACGCGTGGTTCGTCCTATTTGGGACTCTAAGAGCGAACATCAACTCTGTAATGCGGATAAATCCAGCTGACGAGTCCCAAACAGGACGAAACGCGCGTCCTGGATTCCACTGCTAGTCATGACTCGTCTTTGCACATTAAGACATCGATTCTCAAGCAAAACAAAGAAAATTATAGTCAAATAAGTCTATCAATCTTTTTAGATATATAGAGATCCTTAAAACACACACACCATGGTATTGCTCCTGCACTCATATACTAATATATTTTTATAGAAGCGAGAAGTAGGCTCAGGGAGAAATTTCTTATTCTATCCAGGATTTATTTGAAACTGATAGACTCAATACTGATTATTAGCACTGGATGACTTCGTAGTACTGTGATGGATGACGCTCAGTGATTTGAAGTCGCAGACAAATAATTCTAATTCTTCCATAACCGTTATCGCTATTCGACTTAATCTTCATTAAAATGATATAAAATATGTGCATTAGTTGTAAATAATTATCACTATTGTTTTTGTAGGTTGTAAGCAGCTGATAAGTATCCAAAAAATAAATGATAAATTCACCTTATTCTGTTACGCTTATTGTTTTTTGCTTTATTCAATGTCATAATCGACGTAAAAACTACATAAATGAGCATTTAGTCCAAGTTGTCATGACACATCAGCATAAGATTTAATTAACGAAATGAATAGCAATGATAGTGAAAAATACTAAACATTGAGTATATGGTTCAAAAAGACTGAATAAAGTGACGTGTATGGAGAAATCTGGGAAATAAAAATCTAACGAAAGATTAAGAGTGAATGCACCTGAGTCACTGTGAATGATTCTAAGAAACATCCCCGATTATCTTCAAGCATTTATTGGGATGAGAGCGTGAACTCCAACCAACTAGTTTGAATTAACAAAGATGGCTTAGTTCAATAGTAAGTGACTTTACGGACTGATAATATGTGCTGGCCGCTACTAGCTTTCCTACAACACTCATCATTGAGGGTTGAGGTAGGCAATAGTTGGGCATACGTAACACATGTTCCTAACGAATTTAGTATATGAAGATTCACAATCGATTTGCAACAGAGATAAAACTAGACAGAAATAATGTTTCGAAACAAATAAATATAGAAACTCACTTCAAGATTACTGTTTAATATCATAATACGTTCTGTTGAGACAAACAATTCAACTGTTACGCTAGGATGTGATTCGTCATCTGGAGCCTGAATGTATAAAAACAAAACGACAATGACCATAAATATTATTTTCGTGCACTAAATAGCTCCGATATGTTGCTAAATAAATGAAATGTAACAGGATTTGGTCAAACTACAGTTTGAACATTGTCATTCAAACACTTTTGATTATTTTAGTAACATACGATTTGATTAAACATTAATACATTTTAAATGCAAATAAAAACGTACATAACAACGTATTGTATGCTCAAGCAGATATTATTTTAAACATTTTGCAAAGAGAAAAAGTCACATTAACAACGTGGACAGCAAACATATACTGATGATACAAAAAATAAAATACAACTAAATTATTACAAACATGTGGAACACATAGTATTACGGTTAGCTTTATTTAGAAATATGACAGTGGGTACCTCCCTACAACATGTAGTTTAAATTGTAGCGAGCAGTAATATATGTTCACAGTAGTGATCTCATTCAGCTATAAAGAATATTTAAGATTTGGTTTGTACTTTAAAATACAATAAGTACACTACTTTACGCAAAAGTCAATCTAACAATAAAATTTATCCGTATTTGTAAGTGTAGAATAACGACTACATAGTATTATTGTAAATTTTAGTCTTCACTACTAGCTTTGTAAGCATACGACATGAATGCTGGCGTTTTCAGTTTCACTGGATACCAACTAGCTGAAAATATTCGGTCACGTATCATTACTAGGTTAGGTCACAAGTTACCGTGCAACTCTGTTCTCCTACATTAACTAGACGGTTTAAAAGTCGCAGGTAGCGTTACCTGTATATACAACCATATATATCTTCCCCTCTGACCATCATCACTTATTTATCGTTCTTATTTATTATTTGGATCATTTCATCAGAAGATAATTGGTTAATAGTATTACTCAACTCTGCTGTAACCAAGTTATCTTTACACTAACCCTCTCGGATCTTTAACTGTCATTTAACCTTATCACTCGGAATTTGATGAGTTTTATGGCTTCAACAAATTTAGTTTTATTGGTTATGGTGTAGCACGCACAATGCTGGTACTTAGAAATAATCATGTGAACTCAAGTGTTTAAAGGTGAACACATAGTATATATGTGTATATGTATCTCTTCTACATAATTGTATACGCTAAGAACGAAATGATAAACACAAGTATAACTCGAATAAATGCTAATACATACTGATACAAAAATATGCACACTGAGTACATGTATTAGAAAACAAACACGAATTTGCAAAGATACAACAACAATAAAACATGCATTTCAGCTTACACCCTGGATTTAAAAAGAGAAAACAGGAAAAAAGAAGAGTATTAGTTTGAAATCTCATTGGTCATGACGTGTATGCTTCCCTTTTCTCATCAGTTATGTTCTGCCTTTAAAAGATGGACGTCTCTCAACCAGCAGTCACAACACTCAATAGTCCATTAGTCGGTCATAACTAAATTTCAGAACATCGAAAAAACATGCATCTATCTAATTTATCATATAGTTTGTTTCAGGGTTACGAGAAAAATTTCCCCCTATATTCATTAGGACAGAGACAATTGTAGCTAGACAGCAGCATAGTTGGACTTAAAAAATCCATACAAACAATGCCATCTTTTTATATTGATTCTATCCTAAAATGCATAACATCGACATTGTTATGCCAGTCACTGTCAGTCAAATGCAGAGTGGAATCTACTAATCAGGTCCACCGCTTCAAATTGTTACACCAAATTAAAACAGTGAGATGAAATCAAGATGAAAAGCGAAGTAGTAATATCATTGATTGTAAAAAAGGATTAGGGATAGACGATATGATTAGAAAATTGATTTATGGAATAAAAAGTATGAAATAATTTTGAAACTAAGGATCTAAGGGAAGACAAATGGTGGATGCATTTGGGACACTGAAACTGTTTATGAGCCATGTCACCCAGAGTTTCAGACCATGTCATGATATTTTGCAGGTCCCAACCAGATAATACTTTGCATTTACCAATATGGCTCAAACCAACCACATAAGCTGTAAACGTAAATGTAAAATTATCATGCTTACTCAAAATCATTATTGATAAATGCTGAGATTATTCCATTGATGATATTCAGGATTAAATTTCGATGAGTCTCGTTAGGTTTATATGTATCATGTACAGTTTGACTGGATACAACAACTTTTCGCAAGTTCTTTTAGAACAGATGGATTGTGGCTATCAGTAAGATTTATAACTCGTTTTTCATCTAATTTTGGACTCGTCAGATGGATGTACCTGCATCCCAGTGTTGATGCGTTCAGACAGAGGCCCGAATCCAGTCATTTTCAGTTGAGACGCTCAACGTGTTATCGACTGAGCTACTGAGCCAAGATAGTCACTAACTTTTGTAGCAGGTAAGATGTTAATATCGTTATTGATAAGGATTTCATATATCGAGTCAAGTTTTCGGTTTTATTATATGCAGAGAGTCGCTGGTGAACAGTTGAAGAATCAAATACTACTGTGAGACAGCTAGTAGCTATAGCATATATAATAGTATTAAAATAAATATCTAACCTTGATACGATTCACTACTTCTTGAGCTTGAAGCATACGAGACATTCGTGTTGATTGTTTATTGCATAAAATCTGAGTACTTCCCATATACTGAGCTCGAAACAATAATCCATGTATGAGAACATCTGGTTGTTCAGGATGTCGAACAGAGACTGAAAGAAAAATGTAGTCGTATAAAATAATAATGTTGAAATGATGAACATAAGATAATTATTATTTTTCTTTGAAATAGTTAAAATATGAGGTTGTGTAAACACATACATACACCACTATCCTAACCAATTCTTACGCAGTCAGTCATATTCCATGTAAGGCATAACACAATTGTGCATTAAGCAGAGTCACCACATACTAAAACAGAACAGTCAGATAAAAGTGACAAGCTGAATAATAAAATAGTCAGTGACAGCAATAGCCACGGCTCTAAAAAACAGTAGGGAATTTATTCACGGAATAAAACGTGAAGTTATTAGCTAGAATCTGATAATTTGTAATGAAAGGTGTTTGGGGAATCGACGAACTATTAGATGCAACGCTGACTGATTGACTGATAATATGGAATGATACAATGCGGTCGAGTGATGGACACTCACGGGACCAAATTGATATAACCTCTCGAATGATTTTAGATTAAACACAGAACCACTAGCCAGAAAAATAGGTTTTTTCTTATGTAGTAAAATGACAAGTTTATATACGGAAGATTAACACAAAATAAATATGATAAATCGTTATAGGCGATTGACGGGAATCAGTTTTATAGGTCGCTCATGCTTCAATCAATTGAGGCCTAACTGTTAGGCCTAATTCTTAGACATTGTAACGGAAATAGTAAAGAACTAGGACTTAGAGGAAGTTCAAAAATGAGAACATTTGGACCACTGTAACGTAATTTAAATCATATCACCTATGGTCTCGAAGATGTATATTCCTACTGAAACAGATTACCAAACAAACAGCCAATAACTTTTCAGAATGATCTCAAATCTTGACTTATCCACCCCAACCTTTCTTCCAACCTCCATCTATGCTAATCAGCACTGTAGGTCCATGTAGGAGGTGGTTGGACATACGTAATACATGCTCAGTTCACCACCATAGTTTCGTCAGTCAATTATCATCCTTGTCAGGGTCCCCATCCCATGTCATTCACTTGAAAATTGTACTAAGATTAATATTTAAAACCAGTGGTATATTTTAATTGTTTAATAACACCCAATAGGTTAAATTAACTAATTTAATTATAAACGAGTAATTAACTAGTGTTTCATTTACTCGAGACTTGATTCATATGTTTTGCGTGAGGACTAGTTGATATGATACGTAATGTGACGGAGTTAATAATGTACACTATTAACGCTTGAAAAATCCAACAATATAGAGAAGATATGCTCTGTAAGAAAATGGGTTTCCTACATGGATAATACGTGTAAAGAAGGTTTATTTGTAGGTGGGTATATTAACATGAGGGACATGATGTTGGTGAACTTGTTTATGCAAATAATCCAGCTACTCGTTTTAGCTTGGTCACACATTTGATTAGATGCATCGCTAATGCTTCAATCAAAATTTTTAAATGGAAATAGTTGAAATGAGGCTTGGCATTGAAACTCACTACTCCAATACAAAACAAGAACACAATGAAATTGTTGTGCAATAATTCGGCATACCATATAGTAATAAGTGCAATAGTATTAACAATTATCGAAAAAGGCTAAAAATTGTAATCTTTTGTTCAGATAATTATATTTCTACTTTCCTTTAACTTATTAGACTCATTACATTCAAATAATTCGACAATATACAAAACAGAGGGTATCATTAACCGTTTTGATGTTCAATAATAACAGGATTTATCAATTTTTTAGCGTAGTACAGTTGAATATATCATTAGTAAAGAAAGGAGAGGGGGTGAGATACGTGTGTTTTTGTTATCTGGTTAGAAATTTATGGATTTAAAGTAGTAGTTAGTGAAAGCGAACATAAAGAAGTGGAAAAAAACTATAAAATGTAGTGAAAGTCAAGTAGGGAAATAGTACAAATTTAGATTATTATTAATACCAATAAAATATTATAATAATAATTATAATTATAATTATAATAATTATAATAATAATTGTTATTATTAATATTAATATTATTATTATTATAACATATAATCATACGACTACATTGGAGATGAATTTTTCGTCGATTGGATATGAAATCTTAGAAAATTGTGTTCATGATCTCTAAAGAATAATACCGGCAGCTATGGAGAAATTGATGCTACAATCTTAAGAAATAAAAAAATTGACAATTTTCAGCAAACAATTATTACTGTCAACTATTTATAAGTGAAACGATGGTTTTGTTGTATTCTGCATTTGGATTCGATTATCACATACACATCCTACTATGCACTAAACCCACTATGCAAATGAAATGATGGAAATACGTAGGAAGATTTGATCGTCTAACCGAATTGTAATGTACAAAAATCATAGGTATATATCTTGGAGATGTGACGTTCTCTGTTCTCTTCAGCTCAAGGAACACTATCTTCAACACTCATATTCTGAGTTACAAATCTTCTCCATCGTGTCATAGGCATACATAAATGGTTATTTTTCTGACCCAAACCCTGAATAAATGACTAACCAGCTTCCGTCAATAGCGTTTCTCGTTTACAATTTTTCACCTATCGTTAGACGTTTAGGTAATGTGAGCACAGGCACATGCTGTGTCCATATTTATTCAGCTTATCAGGTTTGATAGATGAAACATTCAGATTTCAATCAGTAGTTTTCAAGTTTTAACATTTGATGTGTTGACTATACCCAGACAAGTATTAGTAATACCCCTTAAAAGTGTCTATGAGTCAAATTCAAGTACATAAAACATTTTTCTTTAAACCGTGGCAAGTAAAACACTAACCACTTAGTTTTTTATTATTATTAGTACTATTATTATTACTAGTTAGTACTAATGGGTAGCTTTTAATTAGGTACAACGTAAACATTATCAAGATCAAAATAATCGAGCCTAATTGAAGACATGAGTACAATGTGATATGCATATGATAAACTTTTAAGGTTGATTTCCTTTTTATTAATGGCGATGACAATCCAAATCTCGAAAATGACCTAAACACCAGATATGCATGTATTTATTAAAAAAGTATCTGGACTGAGTTCATAAATTCACATTGACTGTTCAAACAAAAAACTGCTTCATAATATACTTGGGATTATCAGAGTAGGTGTTAGTGGTCAATCATAGAAAACGATGTAGTATTTAGGTATAAACGGATATTTATCCTAATTCCAGTATAGCACCGGAGAAATTAATAAAATGGATAATATAGGAAAGGGAAAAATAATAACAAATGGAACTGCAACCTAGACACAATCCAAAAAAGAACAAATGAAATCGTTTAGAATAGAAAACAGAGTGTTACCGAAAATTCGCTCCGAGTCCGTTTATATTATGATCTCTTATTACGACCCAGCTACTTTTATTACTTAGTATTCTTTAGACACTTTCCTTCACTCGACAAGTCCTTAAATCAGAACACCGCTAAACAGGAACGTAATTATATCCCAAATAAACAAGGTTGGATGTGAGCAGGAATCACAATAAAAAGTTAGTATATAATTTTAACATAAGATTTTAGAGTCTTCTCTAAGTATCCGCTAGAGCTGATTGGCTAAAAAATGACTAACCAGCAAGCTCCAACATAATCCTGCACAAAATATGCTCTAATCCAACCCATATCTCGCTAAAAGTTTAGAATCATTGTTACATTATTATGAAACATACATTGAGTAATAACAGTTTTAGTACACACACACACATACCTTCTCGAACTCTACGTTGACGATCAGCCTGTTGAATTTTAAAAAAAAACAAAGAAAAATAATGAGAAAAAATTGTTCTTCAAAATATTGTAAAACAAATAAAACTTCATGATCTTCTATCACTCTTAAAAATCCAAAATTGATCCGGTTACACATTGAATTTAATTTTCCGTTTTACTCATCAGAATGTTATAGTGTACTAGTTTATAAATTATTATTAAAATGAGACGACTAGTGATATAGGTGAATCTTGGAGTTGTTTTTCTTTCAGGGGGTGATCAACGGTATTATCTAAAGAATAATTCACAAGTAAGTATGTGTTTTTCACAGACATTGTTTTTAAATACTGCTTAGGTGTAAAGTGATACGCTATGAATAGTTGTATTTAAATTTGCTTGTCTGAGGCTGGTAAAAATCAAGAATTTTTTTAATTAGCCGTATACCGACAAAAAGATATATATATATATATATATATATATATATATATATATATATATATATAAATCACGAAAGGATTTCTTGAGACAACTTGACCAAAAAAGAAACTAAATTAACAATGATAGCCATTTCAGTCTACAGCATGAACACCGAACCAGAAATATAACGCATTGAGACGAATTACTAGTATTTTAAGAGAGTTTACTAACCAGAAGTTAGCTCCATTCCACTTTATGGATGTGAAACATGGTCATTACAAATAGAAGACATTTGTAGTCTACTGGTATTCGATCACAGGCATCTACGAAGCATTCCTCGTGTAGTTTGGGACCACAAACTAAGCAATTTCTGGAATACGAACGGGTTACTAGGTATAGATGGCAAAGCGATTGATGTGGTAAAGAATCTTCACCAACTGAGGACATCTGGGACATGTGTTACGTGTGCCCAATCACTGTCTGCATTGACAGGCGATATTTTCTGGTGCAAGAGTAGACTGGAACAAAGGTCGGGGTGGTCAAACCAAAACACGACATCAGCTGTGAAACCACCGACAACTGGATTGAGTTATGTTCATAGGTGTAGACAACCTGGTTGTGTCTGCGTGATTATTGTAACCAGTGACTGGAGACTATATGATATGGCCCAAAATTGTGAGCACTGAAGCAGGTGCATCCATTCTTTGTCTTACTCCAAATCCTAAGATTCCGAATTCCTCATACCCTCTTTTTGTTTTCATTTAGATAATTTATCTTCTCTTCCCAGATCGTATCTTTGATGCATGGTCTTTCCTATTACTACTCATGTTGTCTCTAGTATTCTGGGATTTAGTGTGACAATCTCATTCCTCTGTACTAATAGGGTATGGCAACTTGAACCGATGTACATACGTACCAGGTTCTACGTTGTAACTGACTAATTTAATCAAATGATATTAACGAATTATACATGCCGCCAACTCATATGCAATTATCGAGTTAATTCGCATTAGAGGATTACAGAGTAAGTCAAATACGATAACGAATTTTGGATATGTGCATTTCATATATTCATTGCCCTCAGACAGACAACAAGAGAAACGAAACGTAGACGCAGACCGGAGGAGGAAAGTGTGGCAAATATATTTGATCAGGCGTGACTTAATATTTATAGCCAGACAAAAATAAGCTAAAGACATGTAATGAATAGGCTAAGCGATGCACACACATACGCTCATTTAAAATAGTCAAAGTCAATAAGCGAATAATTGATAAGGGTACAATGTGACTCCAAAATAATTAATTATTTGGTCTGTTACTGACTGACTGACTGACTGACTGTTCGGAAGCTAGAATAACCCCATTTGAGGTTCATCTAGTATAAAAAACTTTAGGTTCCATGTTGTGACTAACTGAAGTGAATATTAGTATCGCAGTTATTTAGCACATATCATACGAACTATAGACGCTACTGTCTGGTTGATTAAAACGGAACAAACCGAGATGTAAATTATGTAGACCTTGAATTAACGGCAAGCAGCTAACTTAAACTATTATTTCTCGCATTTGTATCCATTCAACATATATGAGTTGCCGCATAAATCATATAAACCATTAACTTCATTATATTATTGATAAATGGATCAATTTAAACATGAACACACAAAGTAACATCAACTGAAATGTTATATGACAAATTGAGGTAATCAGAAGCTGACTGGATGATAGATGAACGCGATTGGCCAGGAAACGATTTACGTTCTCTTAGGAACGAGATACCACCAGTGGTTTTATTTAAGGTATATATATAACTACGCATAAACGCCGATACGGTTAGCTAATAAAAGCTTCCTTCTCACTCGTCTAATCAGCTATACTAGTGTATAGGAAGCTTGCGTATTAGTATTAGTATCGGACAGCGCAAGTCATAACAATATGCAACTGAATTTTACAAGCAAGTTATACCGCAAAAAGGTTGTGTTTTTTTCTTTTAAAGGAATATTGGAAACTAGTAATAAAAACCCACATAAACGCAAAAAGTGGTACTTAAATGGAGTGAATAAAGCAATGTTAAAATGATAAGAAAAATTTGCAAGACATGGGAAATGTGCTTTTCAAGTTACACTTTTTCGTCTGAGCTGAAGGCATACCGATAAATCAATTGCAGAGATGGTAGAATTGACTTTTAGCCAATAAAGTGCTGGTTCAAAATCCGTTCCACTCACTTCAATTTGAGCAATCGAGTAGTCTATCACTAGCCCTCACAAAATTAGAATGCGGTTTAAAGTAAAATACACGAATCTGTATTATTATTATTATTATTTTATTATTATTATTATTATTATTATTATTATTATTATTATTATTATTATTTGAACACATAAATATTGGTACAAGAAGGGAACCAAATATATATGCGCCACACAAAACAATGAGAATTTAAGGGGAATGAAAAAAATATTTTAAAAATAATAACGAAGAGATCGATTTAAGGTGGTGTAATAATAATAATGGTAAAAATGGGGGAACGGAAAGGTACAATCAGAAAAAATCTTTCAGTTAAGGAAGAAACAACCACTTTTTTATAAAGAAAGTAAAAGAACGTTACAGCAGGATCGCCACTGGCTTCTATTCTGAGCCATATCTGATAACGTCTCTAGCCACTGTGTAGCACCATCTCTCGGACCCCAACCAGGGAGTCGTGAAGGACCGACACAAGCCAGTCCTTTGCAGCTTTCTTTCATACCACGACACCATATCATATACTGACCACCTCTCCGCTTCTTCCAACCAGTCCCAGAGTCGGCAAATAATGCACGACGTGGAATTCTCTGGGACGACATTTGTAGAACATGTCCAAGCCACCGAAGTCGGTGTTTCAAGATAGTGACACCAATTGAGTTATCATCTCTGTGCCCGAACACACGATGCCGAACCTCTGCATTACTGACATGGTGTTGCCACTGAATGTCAGCAGTCCTTCGGAGGCAGCGATGATCGAACACAGAGAGTCGTCTAACGTCCTCAACTCGGAGAGGCCAGGTTTCACAAGCATAGAGCAAAACTGCTCTCACCGACGCGTTGTAAATCCGGCCTTTTACAGCCAGACTAACATCACGAAGGCGCCAAAGGTGGCCCAGATTGGCATAAGCCGCTCTGGCTTTCACTATTCGTGCATTGATCTCATCACTCACACCCCCACCAGCACTTATGCAGCTACCCAGATACACGAACTTCTCGACTACGTCTATCTGCTCACCATCCAGGGTGAGTACAGGATTGGAATCCTGCCAGTCTTGTAGGAGTACTTTGCACTTCGAAGGTGCAAAGCGCATACCATACCTACGGACACTGATTGCCAACTGATTAAGTGCGGATTGCATGTCTTGAGCATTATCGCACAGTAAGACAATATCATCCGCATACTCAAAGTCGAGAAGTCTTTCTCCAGGCAACGGATCCACATCGCCATTACTTACATCCATCAGAGCTGTTTCCAGAATGTCATCGATGGCAAAGTTGAAGAGGAATGGTGAGATTGGGCAACCCTGCCTAACCCCACTGCTCGAATGGAACAATGGAGAGAGGTGGTTGTATGCCCTTACTCAGCCTGAGGTGTTTGTATATAGGGCTTTTAAGATGTTAACAGACTTCTCAGGCACATCCTTCTTCAATAGACAATCCCAAAGATCAGTTCTGTCCAACGAATCGAAGGCAGACCTAATGTCAAGAAACACTACGATTGTTGGCTTTTGATAAGTATGGCGGTGTTCTAACATTTGGCGGAGGGTGAAGATATGATCAATACATCCTCGACCAGAACGAAACCCAGCCTGCTCATCGCGAGTCAATCTTTCTCGGGTTTTGAACAACCTACGAAGTATGACGGAAGCCAATAGCTTGGACGCAATCGGAAGTAGACTTATCCCACGATAGTTGTTACAGGAACGACGTGAACCCTTTTTAAAGATAGGGACAACTATCGACTCATTCCATGACGTTGGTACACTCTCTAGTTCCCAAACCTTTGTAAACAACGTCGTCAATTCCTTAGTCAAAAAGTCACCACCATCTTTAAAAGGAACCGGAGGTAAGTCATCTGGGCCAGGTGATTTGTAACGCTTCAAGAGTTGGAGTTCCTTGCGAACTTCCTCCTCGTTTGGTGGATCAGTCGTCACCTGCCATGGGGGGCAGGACAGTCCGACCGATGTTGCCGGATCAGCAGGCCAGTTGAACTGCCTTTCGAAAAATCCTGCCCATCGTCCAAGACGTCGATGGATGTTAGTGACTGGCATCCCATCATCCTCGTAGATTGTTTCGCTCACACCAGACTTCTTGCTGCCAGTGGCTCGGGTGAGTTGGAAGAGCTTCCGGTAATTACCAGATGCTGCTGCTGCTTCCAGCTCATTAGCACGCATCGACCACCAGGCTTCTCGGTCCTTACGCAAGCTTTGCCCAATTTCACTACGTAACAACCTTCGTTTGTGGTCAAACTCACGGTTACCCGGAGTAGAACGACGGGCTTCAATGAGTTGTAAGGAACCTGGAGAAACCCAGTGCTTAAAAGCGGGACGTTTCGCAAACCCACAACTGACTGTTCCCGCCATTTTCA